TGCTGTCGTGTCTGCAAGGAGCTCTGCCCATGTCCCACTTACCGGATGTAGAAGAAAAAGACAAATATAGGAGCAGATCCTGCAATCTCCAGCAGCCTCCAGTTGCGAATACCATAACTCAATCCAGCCAAAAGCATCTGTCCGATGGCGAAACAGCAGTGAGAAATAAGCACTGCCTTTGGCCGGGAGGAGACACCAACCCATTCTGTAGCTGAGAAGAAGAATGGAGGTTCAGAGCCACTCATGCAAATGATTTCCCCTGATGCAAAGAGGGTGTTTCCCCTGGAGAAGGTCTCTCCAGGAGGTGAGGAGAGGACCCCGGCAGCCAGAGCTCTGGCATCAGTCACCCATGCAAGTCACCACTGTTTCATGAGACGCATCACCTCTCCTTATCGTCAGGGTGACCTGGTCCTCTGCAAGAGGACATGAAGCTCAGGTATGTCACCTCTTCGCCGTCAGCATCCACAGAATCCCTCACTGGGGCAGAGCTGGGGCCCTAATCGATGATGTCCCAGAGCCACTGGGCTCTCTCCCTGCACTGACCTCCCGAGTTGGGAGGTTGTCCCCTTGCCCTCCTCTGAGCACTGCCATGGGAGAGATGCTCCCTGTGGCTCTCACTCAGGGTGGAGGAGATGCCAAAGTGCCAAAAGACAGTGCAGAGCAAGAGCTGTCCTCACTGCGGTGTTTTTCAACTCGTACATAATGATTTTTATTTCTTTACAGACTTTTCCTATCGCATCTTGAGAGGCCACATCTGTCTGCCTTAGAGCATGGGCATCCTACTCACCTAAGGCCAGTATCGTCATGGTGATCCCTGACACTGAAGCCCCCACGACACATCTGAAGGCCATGTACACATAGAAATGGGGCACAAAGGCAATTCCTACACCAAACAAGCACTGGAGGAAGACAGAGATCAGAATGACTGGTCGGCGGCCAATCCTGGAGAGGAAGAGGGAAGACACAGTCGGTATTGGAGAGACCCCATGGAGATGGGGAAGAGCCCAGCCGGTCACACGGTGATTGTTATCACCTTCTCTTGAGGGTGATAAAGCTCAGACTAGGCTCTGGGTTGACATGAGAAGCACCCTGCGCACACACTGTGCCCTTCTCCCTTCAACCCCCACGGGACCTGAGGACTTTGATCAGGGTCCCTGTTAGTGAGGAGCGGTGACAAAATGCCCAGGGTGCAGTGACCAGGCTGGCTGGGAGCAGTGAGCTGCTCTGTGCACCGCTGGCTTTGCACAGACCCTGGACGGGCGGTTGTGTCTCCTCACCTGTCACTTAGTGGCCCAAAGATCATGGATCCTAGGAGAAGCCCCGCCATGTAGACAGACTGGGAGATGTCATTCAGGTCCTTCCTGTCACACACCAGGTCAAACTGGAAGAAGGAAACACAGATGCTTTTGTTCTTGACGAGCTCCAGATGCTTTCTGAACCCACCTCCAAGGATGTGAGTCTCCATGGTATGCACGTAGCACACAAGTCAGAGGTGGGGCAAGCCCACCCACTCAGTGGTGCCCCTCTCCTGGGCACTGGGACCTGCAGGACTGTCCCCCCAAGGCACCCCCAGGGGAGCCTCTTGGTTGGCAAATTTTGCTTAAAGTGGGACTTGGGACAGAAGTCTTAGCAGCTTGCTTCCCCCTAGAGCTCCTGCCCTCCCAGAGGAAAAAGAATGAGCGCAACGCTGATTCCTGAGGCAAGTAGTTTCTGTTAAAGCGATGTTCTGCATCCAGAGGGCATCTATGGAAAGAGTCATATAGGGAAGATCATGTATAGGAAATACAGAGAGGTCAGAAAGCAGCGCAAGAAGGTTAGCACTGCTCGCAGGAGCACTGTTGGTGTTGCTGAAGCTCCTGTTGACCATTAGATGTGTGGTTTTGCAAGCTTTCCTCTCCCGGTCAAACCTGGTGTCTCCGTACAGAGCGAGGAGCGATGAGGAACTCGAGCTGTTTGCAACCACCTAGAGCTGGAGTTACAACCCCGAGATCCCGAGGCAGACACCCCACAGCTGCTCGCCCTGACAGTTCCCCAGCGTACGTGGGAGCAGAAACCAAGTGCTGAGCTCTGCCTCCTTCCCCTGGCCACGGTGTCCGAAGCACAAAGCTGTGCACAGGGACAAGTTGCAAAGTTACCCTCAGTCTGCAGAGGGACATCTGGGGCAGAAAGACCCAAAAGGTCCCACCAGGAGTGATTAATCTCTCCACCTGCTCTGCCTGTGGCCCCGCTGGCATCTCTGTGGCAGCCTGCAACCCCTCTAGGACCACACCTGGGGCCTGGGTGGTGGAGCCAAGGTCCCCAAATCACCCCTGATGTAAATCTCAGCCCAGCCCAGCTGCACCATGGCCGGCACCACCTTTGACTGAACTGCAGGACAGGGCGGCCGTTTGGGTGTCCCATCCTTTCCATGTCCCCGGCACGTCAAAATGTGATTACAGACCTCGGTCAGCAGGGATGGCGGTTCTGCTGAGGGGTACACCCAGCCACTGCTGCATTTCTCCGTGGCGTTCAGGCCATATGTCATGATGGAGTCGAGGTCCCAATCCACCGGTGAGTACATGGAGCACTGCTCGTACGCCCCATCCACGTCCCGGGGCAGGGTGAGGTTCAGCTGCTGTTCCTCCGTCAGGTTGGGGCCGATGGCACGGATCCAGCTGGTGTCACAGTGATGTGGCACGTGTGGAATCATAAAAAGTTGGCAAAACTGGTGGAAAGCCACCGTGAGGCAGGGAAACAAGGTGAACAGTACCAGCCATTTCTGAAATGGCCCAAAATCACCAACCGCTTTCAAAATTTCCCCGATGCCTGACATTGGCAGCTGCGTCTGGAACAGGACAGTGCTGGGACAGACTTTCCAGAGGGCTGGAATTAATGTTTAAACCTAAGATAAGCTCTGCAGTTGTAGGCAGCCACCACAAATATGTAAAGTCAGGACAGAATGCCTGATGTTCTGCCTGTCCTAAGTACACCATGTAATATATTAATCATCTCTGTGCCACCCACGAACATACAGTGCTGGCTGGAGGAGAAGGACCCCTGTTTCAGGCAACCTGGGCCACCCCGTCTGCCGGGGCCAGGCAGCATCGACAGGGGAAGACTCTTCTCCAAAGCAAATGCAAGTGCAGCATTTGCTGAACCATTGAGCTGGTCCCCAGTGGTTCCACTTGGGAAAGGAAAGTTCAGAGAGGTCCACATGGGGGCTTGATGCAGAGCTGGGAAAAGTCCAGGGGAATAAAGGGAGTGATGCCAGTGGATGGGCAGAGCCAGAGACGAGGAAGGGTGACCAGTTGGCTGTGGTCCCAGGCGATAAGAGACTCCATGACCTTCATCTTTTGCAGCTTCCCTGCGCAGCCACGAGCAAGCCACGTGCGGGCCCTTCAGCCTTCCCACCAGTTCTGGGCCACCCCATAGGCTGGTGAGGGCTATAGGCACGGAAGATTTGGGGAAGGCATACAGGCATGGGAGAAATCCCACACAGGGCATTGCCACTTGAGGCAGGTTTGGCAAATCGCAGCTCAAATGCCTTCCTGCTTTAAAATGGCCATTGAGAACATGAAACCAACTCTGTTCAGCCCATCCCTGATGTAGGAACAGCATTTGCCTGCGGCCCCTTTGGGACGTCCATGAGGTAAAGCCTCCAGAAGTGCCCAAAAGCAACTTGGATGCTCCTTCTCCTGCCCACCGATCCATGGGAAGAGCGCTGTGTAAGTGTGATGGAAACCAGACCATGACTGCCCCATTTGGGTTGACCAGGGCACCCACATGGGTCAAATTTGGAGGTACACCAGCTCCGCAGGCAGCCAGAGGAGAGATGCTGCCCTCGTGCTAAGCCCAGCTCAGCAGCCACCAGCAGGCAGCACCAAAGATAGAGAAAAGCAGGCAGACACTGAACCAGGCAGAGGTGCCGGACAACACAGAATCACAGCATCACAAAATCACAGAATCACAGAATGGTTGGGGTTGGAAGGGACCTCTGGAGATCATCCAGTCCAACCCCCCTGCCAAAGCAGGGTCACCTACAGCACAAATTGGGTCTGTTCAAGTCAATTAAGAATCTCAGATGGAGGATGAAATTGAGATGCCTCTGTTCACCCTGGGCTCTGCTTCATCGGCAGGAGATGGGACAGGCCTAAATCTTGCTAAAAGCAGAATCATGCATGTCCACAAGCTCAGGAGGTTTTCCCAGGCCTGATCCTGCTGTCTCCCCTGGCTGTCTCCTGGCTCCATTCTAGAAGGAGTCCAGGGCACAAAGCAGCCTCATCCACTCTTCTCTGCCATGGTTTAAATGCAGAAGCCCAGGAGGGTCAGTCAGACACCAGCCATGGGTCTCATGGACCTGGAGAAGCAGGAGCCAGAGGACTGGCACAAAACACTGCCAGAACTTATGAGAGAGAAAATGGGGTCTGCTCTGCTCTGACCAGCATTGGAGAGCCTGAGCTGGGCATCACCCTTAAAGGAGGCTGGAGGATACCAAGGCCCAGGGCCGAGAACCAAAGGAAGGAGTGGGAACCCCGTCGCTGGAGGTTTCCAACAGCAGGTGAGGAAGCAGCAACGGTTGACCAGAGCCGAGTCACATCTCTGGGCTGAGATGGCCTCCTCGGGCCCTGACCATGTGTCCATGACACACCTTTCCATGGCTTTTGGTCAAGGTCATGAGGAATTTTTCTGCTGCTATTTGGGAAGATCTTGTGCACCAAAGTCAAAGCACGGAATGAGCGTTGCCTCCAGGCATGCCCTGCTTGAGCCCACCACACTCCAGCCTTCAAAACACCGTTTACCACAGCACAAAATGACCAGAAACCCAGAAACAAAAGGATGCTACAAATCTGAGTGACCAGCATCACCTCATGGGCTGAGGGGTACACCCAGCCACTGCTGCATTTCTCCGTGGCGTTCAGGCCATACGTCACGATGGAGTCGAGGTCCCAATCCACCGGTGAGTACATGGAGCACTGCTCGTACGCCCCATCTGCGTCCCAGGGCAGGCTGAGGTTCAGCTGCTCTTCTTCCGTCAGGTTGGGGCTGATGGCACGGATCCAGCTGGTGTCACAGTGATGTGGCACGTATGGGACCATAAAAAGTTGGCAAAACTGGTGGAAAGCCACCGTGAGGCAGGGAAACAAGGTGAACAGTACCAGCCACTTCTGAAATGGCCCAAAATCATCAACCGCTTTCAAAATTTCCCTGATGCCTGACATTAGCAGCAGTATCTGCCGAGACAGGCTTCCCCGGGGCTGGAACCGCTACTTAAGCCTGACATAAGCTCTGCAGCTGTAGGCAGCCACAAGAAGCATACGAATTTGAAGAAAAAGCAATGCTCTGGGTTTGGATTTGTACTCACACTGCATTCCCATTAAGTGAAATGGACATTTCAGGAGGTGCACATCCTCCAGGGGAGGTTACTTTCCATTTGGAAACTCCTCAGCTGGCAGGAGAGATTGTGAGAAGGTGATGGGGATGTGTCTGAAGAGCAGGGAAGCCTGGAGGCATGGGCAGTAGAAGACACCTCACGAGGAGTACCCACAAAGGGAAACACCCCAGGATGAAGGTAACTGGGGTGGACTCTTCAGTCACAGGAGGACTATGAAGGCAGCATGGAAAGGCTTTAGGACTGTCCATAAAGGGATTTCATACAGAGGCATGGGGGGCAGACAAAACAGGGATATAATTCTCCGGGGCTTTTTTAAGCAGGGTTTGGCCAAATACTGGAAAGACTGCAAAGAAGTTGGCTTCGATGCAGAAGGTGAGATTCAGGAACCCAGAACGTCCCTTACCATCCCATGTCTTAAACTTGGAAGTTACATTCACCCAAGAAAAAGTTTTCTGGGTCTGCAAGTAAAGAGGAACACCTTAAGAAAAATAAAGAGCCAAAAAATGGCAAACTAAGCCCAAGAGCCTTTGAGAGAATGCAAGAGGCAGCTTAGAAAGTGCCACCATCCAAAACTACAATTTTTTATTTTTGCTTTGGTGGGGAATTTTTGTTTAAGCAAGAACATGCATATTTTTAAGCAAACACTGATGGGTGCATCCCAGCCAAAAGGCCTGGGGAACATGCCTAGAACTGGACCATCCCTATCCCCTCCCAAAAGACACACACCTTGTTCTTGACAGTTCCTGAAGCTTTAGAGAAACTTCTCCATTCCCAGCACTCCAAGCAGGAAGACCCCTTCTGCTTCCATTAATGGAGACACCATGATCTTGCTCAAAAAAACCCCCACTAAGCTCGGGGTAAATCATGTCAACAAACTGGCAGAGTTTGAATGAACAGGGCACCTCAGGAACAGTAAACATACAAAAAGTTTCCAAGGACCTCCAGTGAGAAATATTAGGGTTTTTTTACTTCTCAGGTAACACTTCCCTTGATTTCTGAAAATTTCCTTCCTTTGTGGAAGATGTGCAAGAAATATTGAAAGATGTGAAGGAAAACTCTAGGGTTTCTCCAGTGCAGTGCTTCAGAGAGTTGGCTTTCCAAGAGGGAGCCAGGCACTCTCTGCTTGCAACCAGGCACTTCTCTTTTGCATGACATTAGGTGACACTGAAAGGTTGTGGTTCAGCTGGCAGCAGCCAGACAAGGTCCCTGTTAAAGGATGACCACGACTGGGGAAAGCTGTCCAGATGCCCACTCAGACACCAAATTGCAGCATTCACCGTGACAAATCTACTGCCAGAATCAGTGGCATATTAGTGTTTTCAATCTCGTGGCAAGAGGTTTACTGACAGTCTGCCAACAGTCTTCTCACCTCCACACTTGGTCAAGACCTTTCACTTCCAGCACCTCCTTGCTCTCGCAGCCTAAAGCACGACCGCTGGCACACAAGTATGCTGCAGCAGGGGATACTGGTGTGTCCTGGTTTCAGCTGGTGTAAGATTAATTTTCTTCCTAGTAGCCGGAGAGAGGAACGGCACAGTTAGAACTAAGAGTTGTCAGGATGACGAGAGATGAGGACATGCCTGGGCTCTATCTCTCACCATCAGTGTATTTTCCTGAAGTCCTGGCTCCACTACAAACTGGGTGAGAACTCAGAGGCACCCTTGGATCAGATCTGCCCTGAAGCTTCAAATTCAGCAAGAACAAGTATTGTGGAGGTGGAGAGGAGGGAGTGCAGTTCATGCTCCAAACGCTTCTCAGGGTATAAAATCATCCCACATTAATACCAGCCTGTGTCACCCTGAGGTGTTCCTGGACAGGAGAAATTCATTCTCAGCTGCACAGGACATGTAGAGCTTGGAGTAAACTTTTCATCTGGAGACAAGCCCTCAGGGTACAACATCCTAAATTCCATCCTGGCTCCATTCCTGCACACCACTCCTGCAGAGCATCCCCAACCCCTTCCCCACTGAGTCTTCCTGGGAGTTGTTGAACCTCCCACCACCTCAAATAGAAATGCCCCAGGGGCTGCAGACATCACTCGGACAAACCCCTTCCCCAAGATGCACAATCCAACCCAACGACAGATAAACCACACACCAAACACTTGCCAATGGACAATTTGTTCTTTATTGATTAAAAATTAGAGACATGCAGTAAAATACAAAGTCCAAAAAAGGAAAAAAGCCTGAATATTTTACATCTTTCGTTATAATCTACAATACACCAAAGCTGTGAAGAGGATCCGTTTTCATTAACAGAGCATTGTCCTTAAAAGTAGGAACTAACTTAAAATTACCACCTGCTTCCAGGTTCAGATCAGAAATTTGCAAAAAAACCAAATTCTTAGTGACGCTGGAAAACAATTGTGAACAGCATTGGCACTTACTGGAACAACATCAGAAAGGACAGTTGTCTAGCATTGTAATAGCCCAAGTAAATATTTTGGATCCCTACCCAAAACCTCTGGAGATACATAGAGCAAAACCCATCAGTTTCTTCCTTATTTATTTTCTCCATTAAAGAACTAAGGAGCCTTGGGTTAGTGTGAGCTCAAGCTCGCTAAGTCTTGGCTCTGGGAAGGTGGGGAATAACTTAATAAATAGATGCTGCATTGTTCCATTTGAGCAGTTCGAGTCCTACCTTTCTCAGCACCAGTACACAAATGAACAAGGAGATCCCCACGGCATGCAGGCAGAAGGGAAAATAATACTGTACCAAGACTATTTTGTCTCCATATCCTAAGGGTTTCCACTACAACCATATCGAGCACAGGGTGACACGAAAACCACGATGCCAGCCTGCTCTTCCCAAGCCAAGAAGCTTGATGGGGAAAGTCGTAGGGAGTGTTTTGTATCACAAAACAGGAGAAAGTGCCAGAGGTGCCACACACGTGTGCACGCACACACTTGGCCAAACCCAGCTACCACCAACTCCCTGGGATCGGTCACATGCTTCTTGGGCTCCTGAGAGCATCTGCTCAGCACCCTGGGATGCTCTCGCTCCCAAATCCTTTCTCCTCACCCTCCCCTTCACACTCACCAGCCACGGGGCTGCCAATAGCCCATGAGGACATAGCAAATATCCAGCTAGGGGCTAAAAGCAACAAGGGCGGTATAAAAAGAACATGCACAATTCAGGAAACTTCCACAGCTGCTCATAGAGAACAATATATAAATACAGATTGTTCATCTGAAAACTTGGAAATAAAAAAGAAGTCCTAATTGAACCCAGTCATTCTGCTTTAACACTTTGTTTCTGCATTGTTTGTGGCTGATGGAAACCAAACACATTTCCATCTGAGTGTTAAATTACAGACTTACAATTTCTGCGTAGAAAACTCTCCAGAGCCAATAGCAGTTACAAAGGCCAATTGTGAAATAGTAGGAAAAAAAAATCAACAGCATTTATTATTCACATATTGCATTACAAGTGTCTCTTATCAAACTCAGAGTATAATTTATATTATCCATGTAGAAACTCAAACTCAACACCACATAGAAATAAAAGCTAAATATGTGTGTGACAGGGTTTCAGTGACATCCTGATCAAACGTCGAGGCTTGGACCGACGAGCAGGCTGACGACCCGAGCGATTAGTGCAGGAGGGACACAGCCCGGCGCTCGCTTGCCCAGTACTACCACTCTACTGGCGATTCTTTATTGCTGTAAAACACGACAGGGATGGTTCCACGGGTACCAGTTTGCAGAGGACTGGGAAAGATGTCGGGAGGACTCGCGCAGCCAGGCATAACAGACTGGGTTTCAAGAACAGTTTGAAGTGCATCTTTTCCAAACGCAGAGTGACACAGACCTCCTCTCCCTCTGACCATGACTACTTTGTTGATCATCAGAAAGACCAGTTTCCAGACAGCAATGCCTCATTGGTCTGCTTTAAGAACAGACTACATCTAAGATGCAAAATGAAAGACGTTTTGAGGAAGGACTGCTTAACGTAAATTAAAAGGTTCAGCCCTCATGCCACGCCTGGCACTCATGTGGAGAGAACCAAAATGGTAAAAAAAAAATAAAATTAAGGCAGTTTACAAAGGGAAGCTGACTTCTAACACCTCAAAGTCAAGGAACTTCTCAAGAACACAAACACAAGGGAAGGTGGCTTTCCCTCCCGTGGGTTAAGACTTAGCTTGCTTTCTCAGGTGCAAGCATTCAAACCAACAGTTTTAAAAAACACAGCTGAAGAGAAGCAGATTTCTCAGCACTCCGGGTGACCCAAACAACATGTACACTGGTGTTTCAGATAGAAGGAGAAGCAGGTAAAGAACAAAAAAAGAACTGTTCAGTATTAAAACTTGTGCAAAAATAGCAAGTGAAAAAAAAATGAAACCACATGTAAGCAAACATTTAGGCAAGATCATCAGAGCAGTGGAACCCCCTGCTTCGTACTCAGTAGTATTTTTCTTTAAAGTAAGGCAATAATAAAATGAACATGCAGGCAATGACGTGTTGGATCTGCATGTTTGAGATGACAGATACAAAAACATGAGAGTTGTTTACAAAAGGTGTAAACGCCATCGGTAATTTCAGGAAGGTTTGTGATCCTATTAAGGAAAATGTTAAAGCTTCTAGGAAGGGGGCTGTAGTTCAATTCTTTGGCAGTAGTGGTTGTTGGTTTTTTTTTTTTAGGCTAACAGAAGCATTACGAATATGCACATGTGGGTTCTCAGTTGGGAAACATCTCCTGGGACCATTGTTTAGCTGATGCTGAGCTGTGCAAATCCTATAAGTTTGCCATCATCAGGAATATCTGAACCTTCGACACCAGATGCCTGAAACACAAGGAACAGAGATTCAAACAGCAACACACATGCTCTACCCCCCGATACATACCACGCTACGTATCACAACCAGGTGTACCAGATATGGTCTGGGGAGGGAGCAGTCACAGGACAGCTTTGCAATGTATTCAGCAGCTCACACTACCCAAAGTTAAAATCAAGCACTTTTTTTTTTATTGCCTTTTTCAGAAGCTAGGAAGGGCTGGGACTGAAGTTTTGCCAACGTCTGCTCTGACTAGGCGTTTGTGCATTAACTGGGGCAAAATAAGTGAAAACTCCTTACAGAAAGATTCAAAAATAAAGGCACTTACCGCATCACTACCAATAAACTGGTTACACCTTTGCTTTGCCACTGTAACTACCTCTGAATTTCACCACCTCTGAAGGATTCATCTGCTGTCCTTTCTCCTCTCCTAGCCTGTCTTCTCTTAGTTTTGGTTCTCTTCTTTTGCCCCCCACCATTTTTTTTTTCCTCCTCCTTCACTTCTTCCTCAGAGACAATGTATCTGGACCCTCCCCATTCTCCTCTTCCAAGAAAGGAGTCCATTGCATTTCTTAGCCCACTTTACCTGCCCTGAAGTACTTCTGTCCTTTCAGGGCAAGTATACATTCCAAGCCCAGAAAATACAGTTTTGTAACATTTTTATATGCTTATTAGCCAGGATAAGGGAATATTTGTGTTAGCACATCATCTCACACTCATTTAACCCAGAGGACACAAGCAGGGAGCTTGCATTACCTACTGTTAGACAACCAGTAGGAAGCTTTGGGAAAGAAGGGAGGATTTAGAGTGCATACATTAGATGCCCACAGTAGACATAACAGGCATCTATATGCAATGCCTTCTCTTTGCAAGTGACAACTTGTTCAATTAGGGGACAGGAAAAAATACCAGTTTGAAAGTGACGGATCTGTTTGCTTGGGGCTCCTCCACAATTTTCTGCAAATTAGCGGCAACTGAAATCACACAAACACACAAAGAAAATGGACAAATATTAGGACAGGCTAGAGAAAAACATCCCAAACTCATTAGGCCTCTTTCTATTACTTAAACTTAGAACTTTTTAAAATGATAAAAAAAGTTTAGGTCTCAGGCTCAATCTACTTAAGTCTAAAGCTTTAAACTGTGAAAATGCCGTCATTTGTTACTATGCTTCTTTTTCAGAGGTAACTATTTTTTTCCTGATGTGGTGGGATTAGTAGTAATAAACTGCCCAACTGCACCTAGAAATCCAGTTAACTTTGCACTAGCAGCCTTTCCAGGCGTTGCAGCCCGTGTGTAAGGAACAGTTTTGCTTGCTGTATTCGAAATATATAGGCAGCGCTGACAGTTTAAAAGTCTCACCTGCTGCACAGAAGGACACATTTATTTAATAAACTGTTGCTAGAGGTAGCTGTTCATCTAGTCGTTCAGACCCATGTAACACAGGCTGCTGCCCCATTGCATGTGCACTTCACACTTCCTTCCCCAGCCCTACTTAAACCAAAAAAGCCTGGCTGATTCCATTCCCAGACCTCTCTTGCGCAGGACTTGTGAGCAGTACAGGCTTGTGCAGCAATTTGGCAATGCATACATGTCAGATGATAATGCATCAATTAGCCTTCATTCTGCGTTACAGGGAACATTTGCTTCATAGTGTTTCCAACTAGATCATATTCTCGTGGACTGGGGGTTGCCTAAATGTACTGGCACAGAATTGTCACCAGAATTAACAGCAGTTTTGTAGAGTCACTGGGGTAGAGAACCAAGGCCACAGCAAACTCTCCCAGTACCCACTAATCAGATCATTTTAAACATGCCAAAAAAAAGATTGAAATGGTTAGAGCAGAAAAATTAATATGTAATTACCTATTACCAGATCTCTGCCATCAACAAGACCTGCTGAAATGAGTTCTTGAGACACACCATCAGCAGTATCTGTTGGGGAGAAACCCAAAAAGCCAGTCACCACGTAACAGAAATTGTTCGACGGTTGCAGGCATCACACAGAAACCTAAAGGAGCTTGTACAAACCAAATGGCAAAAGTGTTGTTTACACAAGATGGATATTAGGGTATACACCACGTGCAGTCAGACATCCCTGAGCTATGCTGTCAAACTCTTGAGTTGGAATTCATCGAAGGGCTGTAATTTGGTCACATCCATGAACAGTTTTACAAGAGATGTCTTCTCAACAGCAGTGCTCCAAGTCCAACCATAAGACAAGCCTTTTAGGAAATCACTGTGGACAGACACTCATACAGGGCTTCCATACACACAACCGCACAACACTGAACACAAAACTTCCCCTTCAAAACCACCTTCACACACTGGAATTTCCCACCAACTCACCTCTCCCTGGGGTAAATTCAAATCGAATATCATTGAGCTCTTTCTTTGAATTCCTGTGGAAAGAAGAGAATTTTATATAGACCATTTCATTGCACTGATCGGTGCCCAAAAGAAAGTGCCGTCACTGAATAATCAGTCTGTGAAGAGAAGTGAATTCATTGCACCCTTCCCCCTCAAAGGGCAGAAACTAATCACTTGGGTGTGCATCTGGAAGCAGGGCTCTCGGCCTTCTCAGAGCCCGAGTGGGCTGAAGTCCAGGATAAGTGAGTGCCACCTCTATGGTATAAGGCCATGTTGTTCCACTGTCTCAGCAACTCATATCTGTCAGCAGATATATCCTTGCAGCATCCCTTCCTTCCTTCAGAGGAAGGAAGCGCTTGCTTACTGCAGATACACACACATTATGCAACTGTCCAGGAACAACTGGGAGGTGATGCTCAGAAGTCCCAGTCCAATGTCTATCAACAACTAAGATGCCTCAGAGATGAGAGGCAGGTTCCTTAAACGAGAAACGTCAATATGTGTAACATAGTAGAATGCGCTTACAATCCTTTTTCTGCCTATTTCTAGGGACGCAGACCAGAATCCATGCCTTGAATTGGGTAAAAGTTCTTCACACTCAGAACTGGCTGAAGTCTGAAGTTGTGCCTGAAGAGTCAGATGGTCCAGCACAAGGTCAGAACCTCTGAATCCCTGATCCCCTTTAAGGAACCTGACTAATTCCTTCCTTCCCATCCCGTTAGAGTTTAAGAACATTTATACAAATATCAAAACCTCTTTCAGTCTACACCTCTTGCCAAACTGAAGAAGCAGATGAGATAACCTGCTTTTCAGGGTTCCAGTTTCAGAAGAGTGGTTGAAATCCAAGCTGACAAACAACATACAACCACCACCCTTTTAATTAAAAGGCAGATGGCAAGATGCACTACAGAATTCTTTCAGTGTCCCTCTCTACAAAGGCTCACTTTGACAGAACAAGTCAGTTTTGTGTCCTTACCTTAACCTTAGTACGAGGCTGATGGGGACTTTTGCATCTTCCTGTACCGGAGCCGCAGCAGGGGCAGGTGGAGCCTGTAATAGGATTACATCATTTTAAAGCACATTAACACTTCTTTTCTTTAGTTTTAAAACTAGAGATAACCTTGACCAACTACAAATACAAATAAAAGCTTAGCTTATCATTGGAATCACGCCACTAGGGTGAAAAAGAAGACAGACAAATGAAACAGGAGAACTTCATGCTTAAATAGTAACCCAGGAGGTTCTCTCTGCAATTGTCTCGAAAAGAGTAAAAGCCACACAACTTTGAGAAATGCCAAAATGGCAGGAGACTTCAGAAGTGTTACATGTAAGAAGACTGCTTGCTCTGCATCAAAGCTTCAGGGTTTTGGGCATTCACGACAGCTTCAAGACCTCCTGTGTTTTAATTCCCACCTCAAACATCTGACTTAAAAACCTGATACAATTGTGAGGATTACTTAGGAAATAATTTAATTGGCAGATTAGCATATACTCTGAGTTACTTTTTTGTGAAATCAAAGGCTTTAAGAGCACCTAGCAGCAATTTTATAGCTGTCTATTTTAATTTCTAAATTACATCTGAGTAATTATCGGAACGTGTGATCAAAGAATTTTATATTAGTCAGCAGCAAATTTCCAGTAGGAAAGATCCAGGAGGTGTCCGTCTTTATAGCACTTATGACACTTCCACTAAAGGGCTAACTGTTAATCAATCTTCACCAAGAAAAAACAACAAACAACAGAGAGAAGGATCAGTGACTCTTCTGCTACGCAAGTCATCTGTACTGCACATGCTGAGGCAGGGACTTTAAATTTGCAGTAACAAGACAGACACAATGCTAGGCTGATAATTTAAGCCTAGAAGTCTTGACCAAGCTTTTTCATCTAGATCATTTGCTTTTTCATGAGAGAAAAAAACCCATCCTTTGTTTAAGACTAGTATTTTACTCCATCTGTTGGTGCCCTTGTGCCAGCAATGCAGCTCAGGGCTTCCGATCACAATCTTGTTTCTGTTGAAGCTGCAAGTTTTAGCAGGTCAGTGAAAACAAACAAGGGTTCATAGAGAAGCCCAGAGGTCTACAAAACAGTAACCAATAAGCTACTAGAACCAGAGGAGAGCTATAAAGAATAACACACTGACACAGAGAGCTGTAAAGAACAACATATTAACGAAAAAGAGCTATAAAGAAGAACACACTAACAGAAAGGTATGAAGTTCACCTTAGGACAAGCTACCAACAAATAAGCTATTGGGCACTAGTGGCAGGGAGCAAGATACTCTGCTAGTACAACTCCAAACACTTTCACTGAGACCAACACTGCTACTTCGTTTACCGAACTGAGAGTCCTGGCCTTCACTGCTGCTGGTGTTTCAACTGCTGCATAAAATTCAGGGATTAAACACTGGCCCTTTTTCAAGAGATTTGAAGGGGTTTGATTTAAGTATTAAAGCTAATTTTAATGTAGTCAAGAATATGTCAGACCCCATCTCCACTATTTTTGTTTAATGACTAATGCACTGTCTTTAACAGTTTTGTAAACAGGAACATGAGCTGACTGCAGTAAAGTGATATACGTATCTTTCTACGTTCTTTAAAGTAAAAATAACGAAACATTTCTAGGAAGGAGTAAGTCTAAGAGTTATTTTCCTGACCAACACTGCCAAGTTTCTTCCCCTTAGGTCTGCCAAAAGGTGATGGTAGCTTGGCCCCCTCCAACAGCAACAGCCTCTCCCCACCAACAAACATGAACATTAGTGTCTTTTATAAAAAAGAAGTGCCATCATTCAGGAGTCTGGCAAACTCTACAGTGCTTTACTCCAGCAAACCACAAGACACGTTCCAAGTGTCTCAGTAATGACTTGGGTTGGCCATTTTTCTCTTTTTAACACAAGCCAGAGCTCTTTCCTGACTTTTCTATGCCTGCCTATCTGACCTATATCCTACACTTTGGGGTGATGTAGATTTCACATCCCCTATACTTCCCCTCAAAGGTCCGTTCTCCCCTCTCTGCTTGAAATGGAAGTGAACCACAAGGTTCAGAGCTTCCCAAATACGGGGTTTCTCCACAATTTTTGACTGCTACAAGGACAGTTTTAACCTAGGCCTCCTGTCTCTCTTCTGAAGTCTGGAGAACTTGAATGTTCTAGTTTCTTCCTCTCACTTTTCTCTCCACTCTTATCCCATAGATGCCAGTGATGCTGAGACAAACAATTAGAGTCTGTTTGTGCTGCACCTTAAAATTCAGGAACAAGCAGCTGGCACTTAAATGAGACTCTCCTTTTTTCTTACCTTCAACCTTGCCTCAAGCCAGAGTCCACTCCCTAAACAGCATAAAAAGTCACTGCTCACCCATAGAATAAGAACAAAAAACTGCCGCACCCACATTAACTGTCTTCCTTTTGCAAGCCACCAGGCCAGCTGGCCCTTCTGCATAAGCAGCAGTACTAAATCAACTTCAGACAAGCAACTTCCATGGCTTCAGATCATTTTAGCATGTCTGGAATAGAACAGCTAAGTGTAAAGCTGAAAGCTGATAGGAAGGGTTTCAGATCTTACCTGGGCTGCTGCTGGGGCTGCTGGAGGAGCCTGACTAGGTGGAGGTACAGCAGTTTGAGGTTGTGCAGGTACTTGTCCTGCAGCCTGAGGTAGTTGAGTAGGTGCCTGTGCTGGAGCATTGAGTGAAGGACCTGGAGGCTCAGCTGATGGGAACAGCTGCAAGAGAAAAAAAAAAGAAAAAGGTGTTTTAATGAGAAAAGGAATTCAAGAGTTCTGACTCCAGCATCAGCTTTCCAAAAACTGTTTGTTTGCCACACAAATCACTTAGAGAAGTTCAGTGCCAAGGGCATTCCCAGGTCTCCAGGACACTAACACTGATCCCAAGTTGGTGTTCAAGGGGTTTAATGTTTCCTCATGTCCAGGGACCCTTTCTGCCCTGACATTTGCAAGTTTTACTCACCAGTAAAGAAGGATAAGAAACCAAGACAGCAGCATGACTATGGGTCTTGGACAAAAATTACACTCTGCAGCTAGCAAGGTTGGATGCACACAGATCGTATCCTAGCTTAGACAAGAGCACCCTATCCTTTAGTTTCCTCCCTTCTTGGAATCTGAGTCTTACTCAGCTACTACTGCAAGTAGCCATGTAGTCACAGCAGAGCAAGTCTGCTTTGACTTTTAGTTCCTTTCAGAGAACACGGCCTAGCAAAGCATTAGGATAACTACTGACAATTTATCCATTCGTAAAACAAACATCAGAGTCAGAGCAATCCGGATATTAACTGAAAAGTGAATCCAGAGCTTAAGTTCTTCAAAACACACAAGACAAGATTGTTTAGGATTGGACTTAAGGTTAGTCCCTTACAAAAAAAAAATATGCAATTAATTCAAGGGTGGGGGAAAAGGGCTAAGTGAAAGTTTAACTTTTTTTACCTCTTGTGTTATTCAGAACAGAGAAAACCAGTTTTGGCATGGTAGCCAAAGAACTGTGAGCTTGATGGCACTTCTTTAGTGTGCCCCCCAACTTACTGCACTAAGTTGTAGGAAATATAAATCACCTTGAATATTGAAAACCTGGGCAGCAGACCTCCAATTACAGTACATATTAAGGGATGTATCACAGTGTGGAAATTCATCCCAAAAGGATTCTACTTTTCAGCTTTTTCTTTTAATTTAGAGTGTATGTCAAATCACAGTGTGAGAACTGTAGTCTTTCTTAAGATCTCCCTTTATAATCACTCCTTGGAAACAGACAAAGGAAGAACAGGACAGCCTAACCCAAGACTAATTTCTAGGAGACAGCTCTGTTTATCTTTCCACGCAGGTAGCGAAGAGAAAGACACAGTCTATTTTCCAGAAGCTAAGCAGTCTCTATCACTGAAAGAAAAGCTATACTAATATTCCTAATGCAAGAAACACAGAACAGAACTGAAGGCAGATTATAAATTGCAACTGAAGTTTTGTTTGCTACTGAATACTACTACAGATTTATTTCACAGTTCTGAGCATAAGTTCTAAACTGGTGGATTAGACTATGCAAAACAGACATTTTGAAGCTGTGTTTTGTTGGGTTTTCTTTAAGAGGAAACTCGAACACCATTGTTTTGCTTAGATTATTCTTGTGACCAATTCGTTATCTGACAACATACAGACTTTTGCCATAGCAAGTAAAGTTGGAAAGATACAAACCAAAGTTACCTCAGGAAGACCTCTTGGCATTACATAGTCAATGATTCCTTTTATAGGCAGGTTTTCAAGCAGAGCTCAGCTAGATACTAGCTTCTACTTCACACAGGATTGTTTTCAAAGGCTAATAAAAACATGTTCCTTGAAACAACAGCAATAACTAGGAGTCATCATTTCGGGAAGTCATTTGCAATTATAACTTACCTCGGAATTCTGTACAGGTTCTTTCACTCTGGGAGACTGAAAAACACAGAAAAAGCTGTCATTGTCTAGACAAAAGTGAAACTTATTGACTAGAAGTACTTGTTAGAACCATACTGAACATATGAAATCAACATAAGTGCTCTGAAGTTACATATATGTACAAGATGCATAATAAAAGGGACACCACATACGTTGTTGGCAATCTAATCATATCCTACCACCCCAAAACATACAGTCATGTTTCAGAACTTGCAGTTGATATTTACAGTGGCATACAAAACCCTAAGCTGCTATCATTGTTAACCATTAGCAAAATCAGTACTCTTTAAGATCACTCAGATTGGATCAAATTACTCACGCACCAAGCCGGCAAAATCCATTTTAAGCTACCCAAGTCTTGCAGAAAAAGATAAGCCACACAAATCTGCCTTGCAGAAATCTGCTAGGAAATAAATTCCCTTCATATACTTAGGGAACTAGTTTGCAAACCAACTTGCATAAACCATATAAAATCTCGGAGAGGGAAGGGGAGAAGTCAGCCTTACTCATGCTGCTTTATAGAAAGAAATCAATCTCTCACCTGCTCTCCTTGTCCTTGGACTCTGCATTATGCTATGCTCTCCGTGAGAGAGTACGCAAGTCCGGCAGTGAAACAGAGAGATCAGTGGAATGGAGGGGGAAGCGCAAAGCAACGTGACCAATCTTTGCTTATCAGTAAAACAAACATAACATTCACTAGCTATTTCACATGAGCAGGAACAGTACTGCTGGAAAGCCTTGCAATAAGAAAGTCTACAGCTTTGACTTCTAACAGGTCCAGTTACCACGTGGAGATAGACAGGTGGGATGGCTTGGTCCATGTTGGGATTAATAAGATAGAGTTCCTTCTCCACATAATGGTCTAAAATACAGGTTGCGATTAGGACAGTACAAGTCCAACAGAAGAACATCAGTCTTATCATGCCACTATCTTGAGCCAGTTTATGCACTAACCAATGCCACTATCTTAAAAAAATGCAGATTAGAGCAATTTGTAACATATAATCCAGAGGCTTCTCATGAGACAAGGTTAAAAAGTCTTATCCTCAGAACAGCAAGTTGCAAAAAGCCCTCTGCACAGGAGGAGAAGGAACAGTTCCTCCCAATTGCTATGTGCAGACAGTGTCAGGAAGAAACTCACGCAGATGGAAAGGTAAAGCCTGAAATCCATCTCAATATGCTGAGCCTTCACTTGACAGTTACCAGGCAAGATGAAAAACGTGGCATTGCTCCCAGAGATAAACAGCCATGCTCCACATCTGCAGGTCACAGCTGCAGCGCTGTTCTTCCAGGCACAAAGCTCATATCCAAAAGTACCCGGATGCCTCAAGGAATAACTCAAAATGAGCTTGTCTGAAAGATCAGTGTGCTAGACACTGTACAGACAAGTATGGAAACATTGGCCCTGCCCCACAGCTAACAACTAACCCAGATAAATGGCAAACAGAAGTAAACTAAGGAAAAACATGAACAGACGGAAAGGAAACAGGACAAACATTAAAAGACGTTTACCTAATTAAGGCTCAAATAGGATGACTTTGGGGATGTGCTGAAATAGATTACTTCTAACTTATTTTTGCTTGTGTAATCAGAGATGATATGAGTAACCAGTGAAATGTGACAACACAGCATGCCACTGCAGAGATTTATTGAGTAACGGAAGGCGAATGATTTAAGAGCCCACATAGCATAATTGCTTTAATTTGAATTCAAGGTTTTAAATGCAGAGAGGAGGAAGTGCAGTAAGTCTTTACATCCAAAAGGTAATGTTGAGCTAGCAAGTCACCATAATCAATTGAGTAGATATTTCTGACCGTTTATAATATCTGTCTGCTTTCAGGTGCAGTCCTAGCAAGAGACTTGTAAAATACATGTTTGTACATATTAAATTCACCCTATTTTTTCTGTAAAGAGGAGACAAGCAAAAAATACAAACAATTTTCATTTATGTAAATGTTTTTATGCAGGTTAATACTTCAGTATTTTAGTAAATTAAGTCAAACTGCAAGGCATCCTTTTACTTTAAGGCTGATAGCAATAAAATGCAGGTACAGATGCAATCACAGAATCACAGAACAGTTTGGGTTAGAAAGGACCTGTAAAGATTATCTACTCCACACCACTGCAATAGGCAGGAATAAAAGATGACACCTAGTTAATATAAGTTATTCTATCCTACAACTTAGTTAAAATTGTAGAGGGATTACAGACAGGTGGAATTTACACCCTGTGTTTGAAATATGGCCAAAATCACAAGATAAACACTAGTCCTCCTCAATAACACCACCGCATATGTGGCAAACACTGGCAGTTTGGACACAAGCCTTAAGACTGCTGGAAAAGGGATCAAATGCAAGAGGTGCAGAGGCATTCCTACTCTTTCGAGTAGAAGAAAATAACTCAAAAGCTATGCAGAAGAAAGACACTCAGGGCAGGAGTCAAGTACGTAGGCAGACACGTAGTGAGGTGCCCTTCCTGACCTCCAGAAAGGTACAGGTCTCCCAAAGTTCTGTGTTATATCTACACAAGATGCCTCCAAAATGGTAATATACATCTAGATTTAGGTAACTGAACTGAGATCTACTGCTCCAACATCCATCCTAAAGGTTTCCTGAATGGGAGACCTAGAAGTAAAGGCCAAGCACAGCCCAAATTACAGTGATCAGAACAAACGGCAGCACAAGGAAATATCCAAAGCTCCAAGAAAAAAAATAAAATATATAAACTGGCTTGAAAAAGGAGCTTGTAAACATGTGTGTCAATCTGCTTTTTCCTGCATAAGAAGAAACAAACAATTAAGTATTGTTCAAAACACAGTAAACAGTGTTAAGTAATAGTACCCTGAGCTTAGAGACAAGCTATAACAAGTTCTAAGTAATCTCTGAAATAGAGCTGGGGTCTTTTACAATATTGCCTCCTAAAATTTTACTATGTTTTAACCTACAAAAGGAATTTAGAACATTTCAGCTCATAAAACATCAAGAATTTCAGTAGTAGCCACCTGGTACCAAGAGATCCTCCTTGACTGTGTAATACAAAGCTGGATACAGCAAGCTCTTTAAAAAGTCACAATAGTTGTTGCCACCCAGTATGGCATTACTATATCAATAGTGCCTTTTAAAAATCCAAGCATCTCAAAAGATGATAAAAAGATGCAAAACCTCGCATTTAATATTTAAGTGTCTATACAGAACATCAGTAGAAGGAATACCAATGAAAGAGAAGTGACAAAGTTAAAGTTGTAAAGGGATAAATGCTTCAAACCAATACTACTTTTTTTCCTCTTCATATTGAAAAACTTCCTCTAAAAACCCTTCATTGCCTCACTAATTCAATTACCGAATGGTTAAAACACAAAGCCCACTTCAAGCTACCTGCTGTAGTGAAAAGGAAATAGGCAAGCCATTACAGTCAAAATCCACACTGCTGACTACTCGGGGAAGACAACCTGGATATTTATCGTAATCTTTTAGTTGCTCATTATGCATTATTTCTCTGTGTTTCTGGGAGTTAGTCTGGGTTTGGGGGTTTTTGTGTATGTGTTGGGAGAGGGGAGGTGGTGTTTTTTAGAGGATTTTCAAGTGCTAGACCAATCAATCTTCGTGACTTCAGGGATGCCGTAACATTTTCTGCTAGGACTAATTGATCTCAGTGTAACTGAGGGGTCAGAACCAGGCCCTGTGTGTTTCAGGTACCAGCCATAAGCACAGGCTCTATTGATTTCAGCTCCATCTTGGGGAGGGCAGTAGGAAAAAACCTCTCCTGACACTTCCAGAAGAGAGCATCTCAAACAGTCAGCACCCTTAAAAACAAAGAGTATCCTAGCTCAAGTGAATTAGTATGCTGAGCTGGGAGCAGACCGTCTGAATTCATGTTCTCAATTATGCTCAACATCCCTGAATGAGACCAGCTGTGCCCCAGAATGATGAGAAAAGAGATCAATACAATTTCTTCAATCTTCAGTCTGCTTTCTCTGGTTCGGCAACAAACTCGAGGAGAGGGATTATAACTTCCTGTGTATCATACTTAAAACAAGGCCACGTGCTTCCCAGGGATATTTAGACATACCACAGTTAGAAAACAAAGCAGAGACAGTAGAGTTATCGGAGTTTGGGGACCCACCCTGAGCTGTGAAATTGCCGCTCTGCCTTCCTCACTTTCTTCATCTAGTTCATCATCACTCCATTCCCAGCCACCATCTTCAGTCTTATGAAGACGTCCGCTGGAACCTGGGACTCTCCGGACCTGCTCAGCACAAAGACAGAGAACTGATATGTCAAGCAGACAGTTGCTTGACTACATTACATAGTTGATCTTTTTTAGGAGAAATACAAGAACATCTCCAGGTTGCACCAGTTGCCAGGGTACCCAAGTATTTTACTGAAATGTCTAGCGCTGTATCTAGAAAATGCCATACTACAGTAATTACAACTAAAAATGTGAACACAAGCATAAAAAACTAGTATGACTGTAACAGCCCAGGAGGTTTTTGGTACCTTTTTGGATCTTTCAGTGATTGTTGGTGCTCTCTGCAACATCTTCTCCTGTAAAAATTCTTTATTCTGCAAAACCAAAAATACCAAACATTTGCATTGCTGAAAACGCCCTTTGATTCCTTCAGTGTCTCTGATAAAGAAACTGTTAAGTTATTTCTAGCAGGAAGTGATTTACGTGTTTCATCCCTATTGTCCCAAAGATATTAACCACTTTCTTCCTTTGGACTATAGTATATGATATTTCATCCTAAATACCTTTTGGTTAGCAGCGGCACTTTCCTTATTCAAAGTGATACAGCATTAACAATCGAGGAGTTGTATACTATTCCATCTGATTTACTGGAGGAACATACTTATATTGCAGCATCTGATACCCTGCTGAGACATTCGGCCTTCTTCCATTCGCTGATACTACACCACCTGGATCCAGCGCCTTTGCTACACCTTACCCCTAAATTTATGCCTGTCCAACTGCCAAAGGCAAACCACAGACGTCGGGCAGGCCAGGATGCAGGAACCCCTCTATCCTGGGGTTACAAGACCGAGGAATTGGGGCAGCAGGATTTAAAGTGGGTGGCTGAGAAAACATACAGCACATACGATGTTTAGAGAGGACGTAAACACAGTGATCACAACAGATTAAATATTGGGAAACTGCTGTGATGCTTTTACTGTATTAAATTTCCTCTTCAGCAAGCTACTCCAGACTGGTTAACGTGTGCGCTTCTGAGCATACAATTTTCCAACCACTTGACTGCAGGGGAAGCAGGCCAGGCAAGCACCCCGGCATTAGCACTGGGATCTGGCAGGGTATTTCACACCACACGAGCGAGGCTGGATAGCCCTGCCATCTCTGCCCATGAAGTCCTCCCAGAACTCCCCCGTCCATGATGGTTTCTGGCACGCAGGATGGAGAGCCTCAAGATGCATGCTATCACTTCCTGGTGAGTGGATCTCAGCATTATCAAAACATACTTTTACATAGCATAGACTGTATTTAAATATATGGTTCAATATAGACTTCTAGAAGTTGGACTCTTCTGTCCTCAAGTTACATCTGTCAGTTTGGCAGTGGCTGATATATGAAAGTAATTTAACACTGAGTGTTAACTGGTACACATTTTCACTTTGGATGCCAGTTTAAGTATTGCCTCATTTACAATCATGTTAATTTTCTGTCACCACATATGCTAATATGTTACTCTGCAGCAGCTTAATGAAAGCATGAAGGAGACTTTACACACAATAAAGTATAACATGAACCAGAACTCCCATAACCAAATGGAAAAAGGTCAGCAATGTGTAAACCATCTTGTCACTTTGGACACCAGGTGTGTCTCCATTATACAGAAGCAGACTATTCAGTTGCCTAAAATCCCATCATGGACAATGAAAACCTAGTTAATACTGTCAAGAGCCCAGACATCAATTAAACTTGCCCTAAAGCGAACTCCTACATTTCATAAACTGGACCACTCTCTAGCCTTCCTTGGTTGCACTTAAGATTTCTGTCAACTTTAATAGGACATCCAGCTCCTGTACAGATACCTAGGTGTGGCCACTTCCATTTAAGCATCTTAATCTAGGAGCTGAAAACTACTTTGATTAATTGGTGATGCTGCTGTGCTATCCCAAGTATCAGATATCTTTTTGACAGTTTAATCTGTGTTCTGCTATAAAACCCATGTATTTTGATCACAAACATGCCACAGAAAAAATAAGCAAACAGAAAGCATTTTTTCATTCCCACAGAAATATACTTTCTCCTTTGTATTATTTCTGTCTGTCTCCCTCAATAAAACCTTGCACACCGCATATGTACTAATCTCCAGGCAGTATTTACATAAGTGCTCACTGGCAGTTCACTTCAAGGCTAGAAATGGGAGTTTCCTACTATTTTGTATCACAGGATCTTCACTTTCCATAAGGCAATACCAGGTGAAATAGTTGTAGGTAGCGCTCCGCACAGTGGGCCTCATTCACTACTTTGCATACAGACTGATTACAGCGTTTACTAAAATGTGAGTTACATTCACTGCCACAGAGACCTTTATGGTCAGAGAGGCAGCCAGAATGGCACCAGTACAAGAGAAGAAAAAAACCCCAAAAGCCACTGAAAGATATTTAAATGCGCAAGAATTTCTAGATAATTTCTTTTAATAGCAGCGTACACAAGGAGGTACAGAAGAGGGGTTTCATTCTGTTTGTTCACAATAACCCATTCAACTCACTCAGTTATGCTGGCCCTAACTGAGACAGCCCACACTCATGTCAATAAAGCTGTCACCATACCCATCATACTTCTGAAAAGTCCTCTCCACAGCCTCTGCACAGATCAGTTTAGGAAGTGTTTCCTTACCTTTGCTTTTGTGAAAAATTTGTGTCTTAAGAGTTCTGCTGCTGTCGGTCTGTCAATAAAAACAGATGTAGAAAAGACAATTAGAAATGCTGCCTTTCAACACAACGGTCTTCCAGGTTGCTGCAGCTTGTTGTAACATGCCATTGCATAATGGCATTGGCTTTTCCTGCCCAATTCCCCTAAAAATCAGCCAATGTATTCCAAGTAAATTTTACACCAGCAGCCTTTTAAACACTCAGTGTATTCTGATCAAAGTCCATTTTGTTCAAAAGCAGTGAATGACTTGGGGGCAGGGAGAAGTTGCTCCCATTTTGATGCTGAACTCAAGTCCCTTAGAGCCAGATCACAGAAACAATTTGCCCAAAATTGAAATGAAGGACCATCACCTACAGCAGGGGTGCAGTACTCACCATGTGCAAGTAACATAGTCAAGTATCTCTGAAATAACTCTATGTGTGTAATTAGTTCTATTAAACACAGGTGGGACAATCAACATTCCTCTAGTAGAAAAGGAACAAGTACAAACTATTTTCCCCTTTAAGTTAGACTTTAGGATAAATACTGGAAAGTAAAAGACATCCCTCGGTCAGTTTAGAAGGAGCTTTCTAAAGACTCAGGCCTACAGGAGAAAGTACCAGCTTACAGCAAACATTGCAAACTGTGCTTAAATAGTAACAGAGTTTAATTAGTGACTTGCAAAGGTCATTCATCACAGGCTTTATTTCACCTCAGACTACCCTAACAAAAATCATCCACTTTATAGCAAGGGAGCCCCCAAAATAATTGCAATTGCACTAAATCCTCCTCTTTGAGAACCTGTACAATATGCATAAGCTTATCTGATTCTGCTAGTTGCTCTTTAGGGGCCGACCTCCTGCTCCCACAGTCAGGATGATGACAGTGGCTGTTAGTGGTGCTTGAGCAGAGAGAAGGGGTATGCCACGATTCAAAGTGATTATGTTTAATTCTCATCAGCAGGCATTCTAACCTACAAGGTTAGGATATGCTTTAGAAAGGAGAAAAAAACATCATGCTGGGAAAAAAAACCTGCTATCAGCATTTATCAAGCACTCTACTGGATTCATTAAGTATTTCAAGTGTAAAGCGTGTTAGAAGAGAGAGATCCCATCTCATGATGCGTGAGAAGCCTTTGTTCCTGGATCTGTCACAGGAGGGAACTAAAAAATGTCTTCATTATTATTATTTTATGAAGGGACTTCTTCCTTTCCAGAATTATTTTGCTTACTGAGAAAAAAAAAGAAAACTAAGAGGTATAAAAATTGATCTGTGGGAATGCCTGTTTCTTTATCTTTCCATTTTAAGGAATACTATTCTTAACGCAGAATGAACACTCCTTTAAACAGCTTCACAGACTGGCAAATGCTACGTCTGTCCTCCACAGAAATATGTCTGAGCTATCCTATGTGACAGGTTGTGGTGTTTAAACAGTGTCATAGACAGCGAGACCCTCGTGCAGCTTTGAACAATGCCATAACATAATGATACGATGCTAGCCTGGGAACCACAATGTATGTACCACCCCCTTGGTAGTATTTCTAACATCACTGAGTAGTCAAGCTACTGTTAACGAGGGAGACTGAAAGTGTCATCAAGTCACTTAAGTAATCTGTATTGATGAAAACATGTTGGTAAAATTTGCCAGTGTTTTTCCTGATATTTCCCCCCAAACCAAGTATTACTCATAATTAAGTAAGTCAAAACTACACTTAAAGCCTTCTTTGCACTGGCAAATTTTTAAAAGTTTATTTATGAAGCTTCGCAAGTAAACACTATTGCCCAAGGTGTAATTTCTGATTTATAAACACAGAGCAGTTTTGACTGGGAACAAAACAAGAACTGCAGTCACCTGCTAGAGGTGGTGAGGGGAAGAATGGCACTACACACACAGTGGACCAGGATGTACTCTCATTAACCCAAATGGAAGCCATGTGCCATGGCCAGGCACAATGCCAGACATTTATCCATAAAAATAAGGACAGCCAAGAGAATTCGCTGTCACACAGCAAGATTGCTGTGTTCATTAAGACTGAAAGGCTGGAGGGGAAGAGAGCGTACCGGCTTTAAAAAGTATGGAATATGATGAGTTTTGTGGTTTTGTTTTAGGGGTTTTTTTAATTTATTTTCGTGTTACCTGTTCTTACCTTTTTTCAGGATCTTTCTGTAGGCATGATGAAATCATCTTCCTAAATGATTTCCCATACTTCTTCAGCATCTCCTTATCTTGCACACCAGTTTCCAAAGAAGGAGGATCATTTTGTAGCGTCAGCATTAAAACCTGAAAGAATTATGTCTATTGGCAATGAGATTTTTCTTGGCATTTGTTAAAGAGAGATCTTGGGAACACTGTATTTTAGACAAGTATTTTCATCAAGCATCCGAGCCAACAAGGACAGTTTCATTATGACAGCTCTCTGAGGGCAACATGAGCTTAGAGTGAAGTTTCTTACAGTTTAGACTGTCTCCTTGCATTCACTGGACAGCAAAAACTCACCTACCTTTTCCTGAAAGCAATTACAAGGTCTCTCCTCTTCCCTCTGCTTCCCACATTTGCTATCTTTGTAGAAACAATTATTTTCAAAACCTTCACACCACTGCAAATTCTAGCTGTCAGCTGAGAGGTTCAATACTCATAAAGCAGGATCTAGGGAGTTACCTCCACCTCCTTTCCTTGGGAAGTCAGGCTAATTTATACCCAACGATTCATACTACTGCTTTCCACCACATCTCCTGGCCCACGGGGCAGTCCGCAGGCCAAACACGAGGTTCGGGTGTGCCTTCAGGCCTGTTTAGTGTGATTAAAGATGTAAGCATAGCAGAACTTCTATCAGCCTTCCTCATTTAAGATGAGCAGTTGTGCAAGGCATTTGATTCAAAGGCTCTGTTTAGATCTCCCTGCAGGTATTTCTTAGCTAGAAATCAAATTAATGTAAAAGCAGAAGGGCAACAAAAAAAAAAAAGAGATAAGAAAAAGAGAGTTCACTTCCATGTAGCAATGCGACAGCAGGCGAAGACGTTTCTCACACAAGCACCCATCAAGCCAAACTCATTATTTCCTTCACATCACTCAGATAGTCTGAAGGAAAGGAAGAAATTTACTCATTTCCATTTTCACTTGTCACCTACATACAGATGAATATCTATTTTTAGAAAAGGAAGAGGCACATAGCACATTTAAATAGCTTTCAACAGCTATATTGCTTAGGGCAGCAAGAGCCCATCAATCTAGGTGAAATTATGCAGTTCATAACAGAATTCCCTGCTTTTTTCCTCTCTCCTTGGAAGGTCACTTAATGCACAGGTCATTTTGCTGTGTAACAAAATTAATCTGCAGTGAAATACAATTACATTCAATAAATAAAACACAGAAGTCCTCTTGCAGGCTGCACGACTGAAACCTCTACCTAAAAGAACTGGAGATTCGTCATTCTATCTACCATATGACAACACACGATACTAAATAGGTAATCTTGGTATTCAAAGCTACAATCCATGCCTTCAAGACACAATAAACAGAAGTACAGCTTGCAGAAGCTACTGCAAAATGCTATCAATAATCACAGCTCAGAAGGAAGTATCAATGAAAACAGCGACAGCTAAATCAGCAGCACGTTTCCCTGAACCCCTCGCTGCATTGCCACAATCACTGACGTGGTATGGACTTCAACGGCATTTCTAAACCACTCAGCTACACAACAGTCCCTGCACAGAGATGACACAAATCTTAAAATTAATTCTGTTCTACAAGAGTTAAACCAGTGTGAAGTCCTGGCATTTAAAGCGATACATGGATGTGGCTGTTCTAAAGAATTAGAAACTACTGGATTCCCAAATGCTATTGTAATTGTGGGGTGGGAGGGGATGAACTCAGGTCCTAAAGAGGTGACACCCAGCTTGCACAGCACTCCAGCAGATAAAAGGCTCAGAAAAGGAAAGCTTGCCCTGTGGTATGCCTAAACTGAGGGACTTGGCACCCACAGGCCTCATATCCCAGGTAACGAGTCTAACCATAAGCTATGAGGTTACTGAAAGGGCTCTCCACCCTCTCCTGTTCAATTTGAGGGAGCACGCATCCCAAGAGTAGAAGCAAAGTGGTCTTCAAAAGGGTGAGCCAAAGGGGTTCAAAGTTTTGTGACTGAGACAAGGCCCCATCAGATCTCAAAGGGTCTAAGGAAGATCTCAAACCTCAATAGAAGGACAGGATGCTTCAGATCTCAACTGATGGGGTCAACTCTGCTAATCGGAAGATGCAGACTCCCTGAAAGAGTAGCATTTTGGAAGTAGCTCCTGGTTCAAGAGTCAGGAAATAGCGAAAGTTCACCAAACTATAAGGTGATCTAAAGTTCAAGATATTTAAAAAAGACTTTTGAAGCATCAGTGTTTAAACAAGAACATTTCCTTCACTTCAACTTCTATAAAATATTAATGTTGTTGATACCACACCATTTCATACTGATGCGGTACTTTCCACTGGTTCAGTGATTGACAGGACTGTGTTGGAGTTAAACAAAATAAGACTTTTGGATAACTGGTAACAGGATTTCTGAGATGTATCAAGAAGAATCATCAGTGCAGTACAAGGAATAGCTCGCCATCTCAGTGTCACTGGATGCCAGGTAACATGATCTGAATCATCATTTATAGCCCTAAAAACATCTGCTGCCTTCAGAGCCTCCAGGACTAAAACACACAGCACTTTCCTCAAGAATAGTGACCCTGGCGAGACTCAGGATGTAAGGAAGAACTGCGCAGTTTCACACGATGCTGATTAAGTGGCGTATTTTTAAAAGGTGACTTCAGATAAATCTGAGAACATTGTGATCCACAAGTGCAAGTTGAGAGAATAAACTCTTCAATGAAGCACACTGGCCAAATTCTTGGAAACACCCACAGAACATGCTGATCCTTTCTTTATCTTGCACAAGTATCTGGAGACCTGCTTACCTTCATCGGGGGGTATTTATGGTAAGGAGCCGCCCCTGTAGCCAGTTCGATAGCAGTGATCCCAAAGCTCCAGATGTCTGCCTTGAAATCATATCCTCTGACCTGAAAAAAATATTAGAGGATATTAGCATGTGCCTCTTGCTATCCTACACTACGGTCCTTTTCTTTAGCCTATTACACATCCTTTCACCCTTTCCTTCTTTTCCCCTTGAGTTTGGAAAGACCAGCACTGTAGCATGAAAGAGATGGAAAGAACACTTTCTCCCTCCTCTCCCCCTCAGCTCCTTATACCTTCAAGAAGGTGTTTGAGAAGTCATAGTCTGATGAAAATTATGGTTGTGGACAGTACAACTAGAACTGCTCCACCATAAACCTCTCCATGTGTAGAACATAAAGGGGCACTGGATTAATCCAGGCTCCGAATTCTACACAAAGACACAGAGAGTCATTAAACAGTATAATGAAACTCTCATAGTTAATAGATGGACTGTTATCCCCTTGGGACAGATGCATCACTACACTTTTAGTCAACCGATTAATCAATCTGACTGCAAACATACTCAATCCTGAAACTTCAGTGCGCATCAGCTCAGTTAAAAAGGCCTTCATTCCTGTCTGCAGACTAATATTTCCCTCCACTAATTAATAGTAGCTTCTGCACTTGACATTAAACACAGACTTGTCCAGGAAAATTTATAGCATTTACTTCCTCTCATGCACAGGAAAAAATATTTCATACGCCAAAGCGGTTACTTCCTCGTTATCATTAGGTAATATTTTGGCACTTGCTTTCTCCACTGCAGGGGAGAGACATTATGTACTAACTTCAAGGGCAGCTACAAAAATGAAAGCGTTTTGGCTGCTTAGAATGGTTTGTATTTCTTCTCACTAGACTATGGAAAAATGAACATTGAATCAGAGCAAAACTAATAGGGATATTGTGTTCAGCTAACCTAACAAGCTTCAGAAGAACACTCATTGTGATGAAGCCAAAAATGTTCCCCAAACTACTTTTAAGACGATCTTGAATTTTGGCAAATAAACAAAACACCTCCTTGCACTATTTTTTCATATAATACTATAGTTCAACTGAAATTTATTATAGCAGCAGGAGTTTATATCTTGCCCTAAGTTCTTCAACTCTGTAGGCATCGTTTTCATGACTTTAAAGGTCTGAAAGGTTTCTTCAAGCGCCTCAGTTTATGGATGCCATGATTACGAACAGATTTCAAGTCATTTAACTAAACAAGCACAGATATCTAGTATAATCTAGTATAATTTAAAAAAAACACAGCGCAGGAAGAAATGTGCTGTAAGGGTGTTTTTTTCCCCCTTCACACTATTTTTAGGTTTTGAGAATAACTTTGGGACATTTCTTAGCTTTATCTTTCAGTTCGTCTTGCAGCAGATCTAGATACTGTACAACTCTCCATTCCCCACTAGGATTTTAACTGTTTAGAGGGTTTTTTTAAATTATATCGTATAAATCTGCTTGCAAATGAAAGCTAGGAAGTTCAAAACTGTCTACAGCAGTTCATCTTGACATCTGTCCAACACTTCTTAGTCACCACCCTGCAGTTAGTTTTTATCAACAACATATATTTTTCTCATCAACTTTTTTTTTTTGCCATAAATCTGTCAAGCAAACGTACATTACAAACAACAATGCCAGGCTATCATGTATTAACATGCTAAAGGATCTTAATGATGCTGAAGTAAATTGGGTCGATAATATCTACATATGGAAGGCTAACCTACAGCAACCCCTTTGTCCTTTTTCTCGGGTTGGATATAGCGGCTCAGGGTGACACCTGCTGGAAGACAGCAAGACGATATAAATGGACATTGAAGGGATTTTCACATCAGCATCCAAAATAATTGCCTTACCGTCTAATATTTGCAACAAGTCAGATGCACACAGACTTCACGGAAGTATTGGACTCCCTAGAAAAATCTGCCTCCTTCAGAAACACATCTGTTGCATCAAGAACCCCTCCTTTGTCACTAAATCCTTCATTTCTCCTTTTTAGCACCCTCCTTAAGAATTTTTTTTTCCACTGTTGTCGTGTGGATCGCAGCCACCCTAACTGTGATGAGTCTGGAGCACCACCGTTAGGTCCTGGTCAGCCTCCTGTGCCCTGTGCACCAGGACAGGACACAAATGACAGAAAAGAAAGGGACAACTCTGATCTGTTTTTCGAAACACTGAATACTCTATTTTTAAATCAACATAACAAAAAAAATCCAGAAGGAAATGACAGTGAAGCAGTTCAGCAGCAAGTTTGCAAAGACGGCTCCTGACTTGGGGAGTGTGTCTGGTACTTTACGGTGTCAGGCTTGTACTCTGACGGGGTTGCAGAAGTGCTGTAATGCACTAGCCCCTCAATGCCACCATGGGGAGCCACCAAAAAGGCCAAACATTAAAAAAGCCTTTCATTAATAATATATTTAAGCTACTCCAAAATTATCTCAATCCCTCAAGAAGTTTTAGATACAGGAAAAAAACGCATTAAAGTTCTACCACTGTTTTAGCTGCATTTCATTTCAGAGAGAGAAAGATGGGGGTCTTAGTCCTCCCAAGCTTCAAAATATTTTATTGAGAACAGCAAGGAGAAAAGTAACAATGTGGGTTTACTTTAATAAAACAATGTTTTCCCAAAATATTTTTGTTAAGATGACTCTTGGAAGGAAAAAAGGAAAAACATTTATAGTTAGTTGTATTTCTGCTTGGCACACCTGTCAAAAATCAAACCCTCTGTCAAACTGTTTTTAAGGGGGTGAGGGATAATTTTCAGAATGCTTATAGCACTGAACATAAATACAATAGACAGCTACTGCAAATGCCCTGTCAGGATTGTGTCCTGATTTTGTTTGTCGGTCTTGCTCAGAAATGGGCAATGATATTTTTACATTAAACAAAATTTCCAGGTGGCCTTCATCAAAAGTCACACAGACAAAGCTTCTATAGTTTAGTCTAGAAGTAGTGGAGGACAAAAAGTGATGTATCTCCACCCAACTGGAAGAAGAACGACATCTTTTTGCTAGCCAAAAGAGCAGCGGAGGAAAGGGGAGAGTCAAGCATTCCTCAGCATTTACAGTCTGGATACTCACAAGCCAAGAGAAGCTAAAAACTTGAATAAAGTCAACTGCATGTTATTTTACTATAATAACTCCCCACTCTGACATCTTGCAATTAGCTACCCCAAATTCTCACATTTGCAAATGCAGAAAAGCACATTACCAAGCTGTACACATGCACAGGTTTATGGTTGACTCGATGTCCTTTCCAACCTAAACAATTCTATGATTCTATATTTAACATGTGTGAAACTATTTATATTCTACCTCACATTTATGCAAGAGGGAGGGGCAGGTTAATCTTCTTTATGCAACAGCTGAGCTATCTCATCCTCACCTTACACAGGAGCTTGAAAAGAAGTAACAGGGCAAAAATCTATTGAACACTTAATATTCCCCAGTACAAGCCTGGCTGCAATAGGCAGATCAAAGAAAATCTGGTGGTTTTTAAAAAGCTTTACAGCATGCCCAATTATTATCTTAGTTTGAAGTAAATATGGCCATTGCTGTCAACGGGGAATTCCAGGTGCAGATCAGCTAAGAGGACACTAGGAAAAACAATTCACCTGTTCCATAACTTCTGGTGCCATCCAGCAAGGTGTGCCCACAAAAGTTTTCCTGACTTTATTTCTGGTAATGTCACCACCGGTGGCCAGAAACGCACTAACGCCAAAGTCTGAAAAGAAAACAAAACCAGATTTGATTAAGAACGCATCCTGAGCAAACTGCAGGGCTGTCCCCTCTTCCCCCTCATATTCCCAGCCATCTATTAAGTACTAGATCATACAGTTACGCATGAGGAGTTTCCTAATAAATGTGGAATGATCAACAGTTAGCTAAGAGTGCTGGTACATGAACGGTCTGTAGTCCACTATTCAATTACCGCAGACAGCAGAGCTTTCAGCCCTGGCTGGCAGAGAGGAAAATTCCACTTTCCATTACAGCCCACTGGGCACATTACAGCACAACCGTGCTCCCCCAGCAGACCTGCTACTGGACAAACCTGCCTCTGACAGCCAGTGCTTTATTTACATATGTATACATACATAACAAGTAATAACGGAACTTCAATTAGTATCCTGTTAATATTTGCAGCAACGAAGTCGGGTACATAAAAAGTTTCTAGACTTTATAACATTTAACTGCCCTAACTGCACCCTGCAGACTGGAGTTATCAGCCCCTTATCTGGATGTTTTATTACCAGAATATGCCTTCCTTGGTAATCTTCCATCGCTGAGATGCTCAGTGCTTTAACAGGAACTTGGACCGGTTCCTGACGATCCAGCAGCGTTACTGAATCCAGCAGCACATGCCATTAACCAGCCTGACCATCCCAGAGGAAGCCTCGCAGACAGGTATTCAACACCCTGCATAGCATCACCCTCACCTGAAACATCTTTCACAAGCTGAAGGATGCTCAAGGATGCCCGATGCACTCTCTGGTAATTGTATGACTTCAAATAAATCATTCTTTTACATCTTTGAAAACATAGTTCTCATAACACTGATGTTTTATGTAATTAAGAATGACATGGAAAACAGGATTTGTGAACAGCAGCAGTAGTGTGCAGGGACAGCAATGGGATACAGTATGTTTGTGCAGAGAAGAGTATTACAAAAGATTTGTCAACCAAGTCATTCAAGAGAGGATGACAGACTTTTGGAGAAAAAAAAAAAATAAAATACACCAGGTGATAGGGAAACTGTAAACACAGAACTGTGTAAGTATTTCTTCCCAGTTTGCTCCAAGCGACACTGCTTACGCATTGTCGAATTACAGACCTGTAATGGGTCATTCTCCATTACTCAATTTTATCTACACCAGCCCCCCTCCTTTTTTAAACACAGCACAAGCAATCAAAATCTTGAATGCCATTTTTGAGATTGATGACAGGCTTGGAGGATAAGTCTCTGAAATTCAAGGGCTATTTCACATAAAAACAGAACATTATTGACCATAACTGGCTTGCAAATTCTTGAAACTCAGCTGACGTAACTATAAATGCAAAAGTCTTACTCAGAGGGGCCACAGAGTTACTCCATGGCTTAAGGATGTTATCATGAGGAATCAACTGCAACAAAAGATCCCTCTTTATGATTTGCAAGTGATGGCATCCACATGAGGACAGTCCCAAGCTTCCCTCTGCATCACGCCTGCAGTGCAGCTAGCCCCTTCTCACCAGTCTTTCAGTATTTGAGAAACACCACTGAAATTATCACTCAGAAGAATAAGATGCTGAAAGTTTCCAGCTCTCTTAGGTTAGAGGCTTCGAAGGACAGAAACTTAGTGCTTACTAAAATATTAGACATGGATACCTGGAAGTTGACATTAAAGAAAGCTGCGTAGAAACGACAGGGCTAAAACAAGCACTAGCAAATGCCTATCATTAGGGTTCAGCTTCTTCCAGATATGTTGTCTATTCTCTTCCCTGTTCCCGGAGGCATCTTGTCTGCCTGCTAACCTTGATGTTTTAGCATGTCTCGATGGATCACTATCCCTGTCAGTACTGCCATCAGTATTTTTCCGGACACCCACTTTTTGCAACAGTGACTTTGCTTTGAGATCTTCCATGTGTGTATCCACCATCCTTTCTTTTCTCAGAAAACTGAATGAGCTTCCTAAAAAGTTCAGAGTAAAGTTACTTGCACTTTACTGCTCATTACAGGAAGTTTCACAAGATCTATTGTTCTAAACACAAGAGTAATTAGAAGTTCTTTTAAATAAGATAATACTAACATAAACTTGTCCAAGTGCCATCAGCATATTATTGTGATGTGCCGTATTTGAACTTGTGTATATTATCTTACCTCAAGTTTCCATGCAGTCATTTTGAGGGTAAAGGAAAGGCCGTTCAAAGCAAAAGCATTCCAGCAGTAAAAACACAAGTTCTTTACACAGCACACACAGCATTCACCACATTTCACATCAAACGTGGGTTTATAAATTCCAGTCGGAAATTGCGCCCCTACATCTCCTATCTGAGGTCAGCAGAAAGCTTAAACGGAATTAAATTTGATTCCGTTACACGGTTGATTTATTCAATGTTTTCCCAATCAATTTCCCTTATTTCTAGTGGGTTAAAATAGGCACAACCAGCCTGTGCTACCCTGCTGTAAGGAATGACTTTGAAACCATCTTACTAACGTAACTGACTTGAAACGTCATCTTACTAACTTTATCCAGGTCCCAGCTATTAAGGTAAGAACGTGCCTGCTCTCAAAAAATTTCTGTGAAGCAATAAAATAAAATCCTAACCACAAATTAGGGCTCAATTCTCACTTCCAAGCAGTTGGTTCTATCTGCATCTCAATTCTCTCTGCTGCTGATTAACTACCCTCAGAAAGGCAAAAACACAACTAGGTTATTGCAAGTGAGTTTAACTCTAGAAAATGTGCAAAGTCATGAAATCCAAGAGGTACAATAGCTCAGAGGTGTTTACATTTGTACTCTTCTTTGGCACCTTGTACTTTATATTGGCTCACTACTGTGATAACCGGAAAGGACTGCATCACCAGAAACAGGGAGGACTTGGAAACGTTTGGACCTGGCTTGCCATACCAGTAACCACCACTGCTGGGAATCCAACGACTGTCAGATATTCTAAAGGAGTGCAAAAATTGCAGACTTCCAGCAGTCCGCTAGCAAATAATAGTGTCCAGGATGTCTGGATACAAGTAGTAGGATTATTTTTTTTATCATTTTTCTGAAGCAATGGAGAAAAGATTCATCTGCTGGACCTGTTTCAGTAATATAAACCAAAGTTTTCTTTAAAAATCACCTCTCTCTCCAGACTCTCACATCACAGCAAAACCAATCCACAATGGAAGTGATAATTCTGCTGATGCAGGCTCTGGAGAAAATATGGCCAATTTTGCCTTTTTACAGTAGAAACATCATGTGTTGCAAACCACATACCCTACAAAACACTCTACAGTGGCAATGAAGTTGCAGGCTACTGTTTGAAAAAGCACGGTATTAGGCAACAATTCCCACTACTAAGGTATGCAAGTTGTCAAAAACTTCAAAACTATTCTGGCCACTCAGGAAACGCAAAAGCTGAAAGGAAAATCCCCTTGTACTATTCTGCACTGTGGAAACAAGGAACAACTCCCCAGCGCAAGAATGCTGTGGCAGGACCACAACACAACGGGCATCGCTGCTGCTGTGTATCTGGCACTGTTTAAGGCTGAGCTGGCTCTTAAAAGAAAGATACATTTCTACAGTACCATAATTTAGATTGTTTTATCCAAATCTAGAAGTCAGCCATTAAAAATGATCTCTCCTTGGCCATCTCATACTGTAACATTACCTTAATCCTAAAAAGCCTACGTACCTGCTACTGTAGGTAGCTACCTACAAGGGAGGTACAAGGGAAAGACGACTCTGCACTAACTAGGAGCCAGGACTAAAGCCTACTGACATCAGAAAGGCTCCTAAGAGCTTGGTGGGTTTGGATCAGACCCTAAAGCAGTTCCCAACTTCAACGGAGGCAGAACAAAATAAAACAATCTTGACTTCAAACCACTTGGAGTTGGGTTTTTAAACTTGGGCAGCCGAGACATTATCCCTCCTCAAGCAAAACTAAAAAGTATTCCCGAAGACAGCATTAACTGTTTTTTTTCCACCAGTCACCTTCCTTCTTGTTCAGTTGTTCACCACTAGAAAACATCTGCAGTCGTACTTAGTGTTTTTCTGTAAACTCAGAGCTTTTAGAGCGCCGAAGATGCATAAAGCCCGGCAAGAAGAGGAGGAAGGCAATTTTGTGCTGAGAACGCAGCAGGTGGTAAGACACCAGAGAAAAAGAAGATTAGTGGAGAACAAGAATCAAAATCTTCTTTCCTTTTAAAGACTATATGGTTATACCGTGGTATTGGATCTATAAATACACACTCGTCTCCCAAATTCTCATTTGGAAAGGTAGATCTCTACAGTCACATATATTTTTAATCAATTCACATGCAGAACGGCAGCTTTATTCCATCTCAAGTTTAGCCTTTTTGCAATAATGTCAAGGCACATAAAAGAGGTATGAAAACCCTTTGCTGCGCAAACGTGAAGATCTCATCTGAAACCGAGCCCCAACAGCATGTTAATAAAGATACGCTAATATTGCACAAAGTAACTTAAGGATGACAAAGCCCAGGCCAGGTGAAGCCATCGCCCTTGGAGAAGTTCACAAGTGGTTTCAACAACCAAATAGCGCAACATCTCTTCAGGAAACGCAGATATTACAAGTGACACAAAAAGTTATTTCACAACATGCTACTGCAGGGAAGGCAACAAAACTCTCCACTAACCACAGAGAAAACTACTTTTGCCCCTTTTTTGAAAGACAGAAGAGGCTCAGAGATGTCCACGATAAAACACCGGCTGCTCGAGTCAGCCCTGCAATCGGCACTTCTCTCCCCGAGTTAGATTCATGCCTTGCCCCTTGCTAAAGCAATTTAATCTCCCAAAGTTAGAGTTTCCTAAGGGAAAGTGGGGGAATGACACTGCCTGCATCATAGCTCGATGTTTATGTAGAGCGCTATTTTAGTACAATGAATTAAGAGCAGTCAGGAACACAGCGAACCGGTGACAAGCTGGCATGGATTTGTGGAAAGTTACACAAATTCAGTTACACAAGTTTTGCCTGGCCTTAACTATCCCCATTTTATAAATAGATAAAGCAAGAGGGGTTAGGCAATTTGCCCAGTATCAATTAGCAAGTCCTGAACGACTTTGTGAAATCTCAATCTACTTCAACCGCTTGGCAACACGACCAGCCCGGGACATGGCAGGCACACTGAGCGCCTTTGGGAGTACGCGTTAATAATCCCGACTGGTTTTAAAACCTGAAGACATCATGTTATTGTCCTTACAACAGAAAAATCCCACGCGTGGAGGGACGTGTGCCTTTCAGCCTTCTGTAGACCCTTGCTTCTTCACATTCAATCACGGAGAGGCAGGTGACAGCACTATTTAATATTTCAGTGGATAAAATCAGAGGAAAAAAGATTTAGTTTGTACCCAGTCTCAGTAGGATGCTAATATCGTGCCATGGTTGGAGCATGGTTCGCATCGAGCAAGTTTTGTGCACCCTGGGAGTTTCCCCTCAACCTCTCCCATCCCTCCCCAGTCTATCAAGACTCTCACTTCATTTCACAATAATTTATAGGACCTGCACAGTTAAATAAACTGAAGAATATTAACCCTTGTTTACTGTGAGAAGTCGTCTCCTGGTTTATGCAGCAATATTGGTGCTGATGCAGTTTATGTTGACAAAGAGTGTTTTTCCCCATGCAGGTTTTAGACTCCAGGGAGTCAATAAATGCCAGGGCAAAGAGGTTTTATGCTCTGATTAAAAAAAAAAAAATTTTGCCTTGGAGAGGCTGGAACACACGAGAACACGGCTATCTCAATTTACATTGCAACCATCGTCAGCACAGCCCGGAACAACAGTATCTGGAAAGAGTCCTGCTCTCTCCAGAAGATAGATTAATTCAATGTGCAGGAAAACACTTCAAACTGAGAAAGCGATACTCTCTGAATTTTAACAGGCTCCAAAAACTTGGTGCCAACCCACAAGCCCAAGCCAGTGCCTTTGGGGCGGGGGGGCAGGGTGGGTGGTGGAATAAAATGTTAAGATAGAAGCAAACAGCCTCGGTTTAGGTCTTACTGGTCAGCTGGATCTGTTAAAGGCAATTTTATGCCTTGGTTCAGTGGATGCACATTTTGAAAGCCAGAGGAGCTACATAGTTAAAAATAGACAGACCCATAAGTACAAATACCAAGTCCCAGGCCGCAGGGAAGATCTTGAAGCTGGGCACTTGTGCAGGTCATTAGAGGAATTTTTAGAATTCCTACTTCCAGCAAATGGCCCCAAGCTCACAGATTTCATCTCCGTCGCCTTACCTGTGCCTGTCTCAGCTCGCAGTGCTCCCACAGCAGTTTTCACATGGGATGCACAGCCACCAAATTCAGAGTTACAAACTGAACCTGAGAGATGTCGGACACACCTTCATCAAGTCGCTTTTTCTGTTCAACCTCAGCAGAATTGCACAGCCCAAATTAACTAAAGAGGCTTTAGTTTTCACTGGTGTGAACTGTATAATCCCGCAGCAAAATTATTGCTATGAATTCTATACAGTGAAAGTTTCCCAAGTAATTAAATTCACTGACATGTTGTGGAGGTATAGCCTGGCAGTGGGCTTTCCTCCACGACAGGGTCGAGCTTTTTTTCCTAAGTCTTGAAAGCAACTTTGCTTTTTTCCCCCTAAAAGGATTTCCACATTGAGATTTACATTCCTTACATTTACATTTAAGATCTACATTTCTTCTGAGATAAGAAACATGAATTGTGTCCAGCAGCAGGAAACACACAGGAACACAAGGTTGCAAAGGCCAAACATTGAAGAAGACCTTCTTACCAGTTGTTCCCAGGCAGTTTTGATAGAAGGATGGCAAAAGGGAAAGGAGTCATTATAAAAGAATTGAAGTCATTCTTTTCTCTACACTATTTGCATTTTTTGTGTACACCAAACCAGTTCCTTCAAGGGAGGGGCCCCATTCACTCTAACCTTCAGGCTTCATTCTACCGCTGATCAATCTTTTTTTTTTTCCCTTGTGGTGTAACTTTCCAGCGAAACTTAAACACGTTTGTTTCATGGGAATGCAGTGATGTCATCCAGCTAATAACTGAAGCACTTGACAATCATCAGAATTATTCATAATATGCACCAATATTATTGTCAAAGGCAAGTGCTTTGATCTCACTGAAACAAAACTCACTTTATTAGGATTGGTTTGCTTCCAGCATTTTTTCCTCCTCAAAAAATTCACAAGAAATTTTGCTATTTCATCCTGGGTCAGGAAGAAAGGAAGCTTAAGTGTCAGAAATTCCCACAGAAACAAAATTTCATGTTATGACCAGGTCAGGTTCTTCTCCAGTATTCAGTCAGTCATTTATTTTTGTTTCTTTCAAGTCATCAGCTGCCCTCGCAGAAACGAAAGTGCTTCCTGCCACTGCAGTGAACTTGCTGACCTTGGTTGAGTTTAGTGGCTCTGCTGTCTCATGAAAGGTTACAGTGTTAGTCCTTTTGCATGTTCAAAGAAAGAATTTGTAAAGCGAAAACTCTGCGTATCTCGCAATGTTGCTCTCACAGGATATGCAGAGCGATGGATGTTGCACGTATAAATCACTAGTAGACAGTTACAGTTCAGGGGAACACGTACAAATCAGACAAAAATAAAACCTCTGAAATTCCGACCAAGACTAGTCAACCTTAAAACTACTTATCAATGAAAAATTATTCAGCAGAAAAAAAAAAAATACATGAACAGGTACCTATTACCAGTGAGTCATAATAAAGAAAAAAGCCAAACCCTGACATCCTTGTGGAAGAGAAACACAAGCAGCTTTCTGCCAGGCTGGCAGAAACAGTTGGAATAACAGTGCATTGCTCTAATGCAACAGTTATTTGCAGCCTCTCCCAGAAAATAATCTAAAGCTCTATACAATTACAAATCCAAAATGTTACATCTTAGCTCCATTATGGAAAAACTGTAGGATTTCACTGTATAAAGTTATAGAGATTTCACTTTATAAACGCTCCTTTGAGCATTTTAGAAGACACTCCTTACCTTCCATCAGCTGCCACACAGGATGAATTATTTACACCTCATTAGAAATATAACAGCAGGCATTAAAAGCACTGGGAGACTTAAAAGGGAAAACAAAGCAACTTCAGGTTTAAACCGAAGTCCTGTATTTTAGATGTTACATCCTGTAAAAGGCCTTATTGCCTTCTGCAGAGGGAGAAGAGCTACCTATTAAAAAAAAAAAAGGAAAAAAAAACCTGTGCATTGCAATGCGTTCTGGGAAATCTATACCTTTCATTCCAAGATGCAAATCCAGGTGTAAATATATCAAAGGAGTTGGTGCCTCTCAGCACTACACAACGTAACAGGAACATCTGCCTAACAGGACAGCCGACGGTGGTTGCCACACAGCTGCAAAGCCCTGTCCCTTAACCCCAGCACACTGGCTTGACCCGCTGCTATGCCTCCATCAGCAGGACAGGGCACTGAAAAAGAGACCTTACCACAAACAGATACAGTTTTTTCCAATTAAATATGGGACTGAAAAAGTTAAGCATGTACATGGATGTTTGCTAAGACAGCAGGAGCAGATGTGAGCTCTGCCCTCCAGCTAGAGGCGGCACAAGGACTGGAAAGGCACCACAAGATTCATGGGAAGAGCACAGTCCTCAGGGAAAGGACACTCAGAGTGGAATCGTACTCAGGACAGGAAAACGGCACACTGGGAAGAAAGGGAAAAACAAGTCTCACGGGTTCTAAATGTACTCTCCAAAAATCTTGTCTTGCTTAATAGTCTACAGTAACAATAATGATCATTCTTAATTTCTGGAAAGAAGAGTGAAGTCTGTAAGAACATGTATGAAATAAAAGACCAGAAGAGTAGTATTGGAAAAAAAAACCCACACCCCACACACACCCCCCCTTACCAGGGACTGTTTCCAACAGACCTATATTGATGCAGCTCACGACAGCAGTGACTACAACAGACACCTCCAGGCACATCTGTATTAGCTACAGCAACTCTCTTCACAGCCTTCCCTACCCTGTCCCTCAGCTTGCTCGACTGCTTCCCAGACTTTCCGTTCTCCCCAGTGAGGGCTGGGTTAGGGCAGTCAGTTAAACGTGCGCTCTGTCACTCGGTTCAACTGAAGCAGACTAGGGAGCATCCATGCCAGCAGTCTGACCGGCAGATCTTTCGCTAATGCAAAGTTGTAAGTGGCTTTTACCAGACATACCAATTCCCTTCTGATGAAGCTATCCACTGTTCACCACAGTCCTTTTGAAAGCCACCTTGCACACCGACGATAAATCAGTGAGGTCTGTGCAGTCCACTTTCAAACCTATGAACTTGTTTTAAAAATTTGACTAGCTTATGTCAAGAATTTTATCTAATTTATTGATTCTGAGGACTGAACAGTCAAAGGATTTATTCATGTTGATTGCCATTATTCCAAAGAAGAGTATTTTAAGGTAGCAAGATGTAATAAACTCTAGGTTGGTCTTCTTTCGGTTTGGTTTATGGTTTGTTTACTGTTTGTTTTTTTGGTGTTGTTGGTTTTGTTTTGTTTGTTAGTTTTAAGAACTGCAGGGCTTCTTGAAGCTAACATTTTTATGTAGGTTTCTTCTTGATCATTAAATCATCTCTTTGGATACACAGTTATGCCTACAGCTTATTCAAAGCTACCAGGAAAGTTACCTGCAATTTGCACTGAGCCGTCTTCTCCAAGAAGAATATTTCCTGCTTTCACATCCCTGCAGAAAGATAAAGCAACAATAAGTGGAAGTCATTAAATCTTCCCTTCAACCAACAAAAATACATAGAAGGTTATTATTTCTTATATTTTGCTTCTTGCATTAGCACCTCCTGCTTCCAACCATACAGAAACAGCAGAGACTTAACACCAATTGTAACTTCAGCAGACAGACACTAAGTGCTATTTGTATGATTTATAGCTAGTAGCATTTTAAGTACTATACACAGAAAAAAAAAATTTGAAAAACTTATCAGAAGATACCCTCAAAAATACAAGGAAAGTGGTTTGTTCCAGGTTCTTAAGTTAACTAAAAATGTGAAAACAGAACCTGGTAATGGTCTGATACTCATGTACCCATTTTGGAGGGGGAGACTTCAAGAGATGGTGAGTTGATCTAGTCTCACTACCGCTGAATGCATTCTGTTCCTCCCCAGCCCCAAGTCTCGCTGCTCTCCAGCCCTGCAGAAGTTCCCCTGCTCCCTCAGGAAATCAGTTCAGCCCCATACACTGGTGAAAAAATGTTGTTTGCTCACGGCTTAATGAACCAAATCACATTACCAAGAGTCAGATGGGCAGAGCTGGTACAACAGAGATGATGAGAATGGTAAAGTGGGGCCAGTCTCAGCTTTAGTGAAAAAGTCTCTCTAATTATTTTTTTCCCAACCAAAGTCAACGAACACACAAGAACATCCAACATGTGCTATGAAAGTTATTGTACTATCCCCTTTCTACCCCAAAAAAGCTCTGGTTTCAGTTAACAGCAGCACTTCTCCACCCTTGAGGGGAATGCTACTTTCACTCCAAATATGCTTTGAAGTTTTACAGCTTATTTTCACAGGCTGCGCCCCACGCAAAGGCAAGAGAAGCACCTTTACAGTTGACATACACATTCCTCAGCATGGCTGCTATGCTTGCACTGGCTAGGAAACCATGCAGGTGCTGTCTCAAGAAAAGCTGCAAGAAAAGCAACTGTCTAGGGAATAGATAGCAATTCACAACACACCTCACCTTAATGGCAACCACCCGCACCGAAGAGAAAAAAAAAAAGAAAAAATATAAAACAAACTCCAAAACAAGTAGATTCTCTCTCCACTGCCTTCAGCAAATATTCCAAATCCTTTCACATATACAAAAAAAAAGTCAAAAGCTATTTTTTCTCTCCTTCCTCATGCATCACGAGAACAGAACTGGCATGATGGCCTGGCCAAAGAGCCCTGGTCAGTCCCTGGAAATCTCCTCCTTCCTGGCTTTGCTCTTCTGAAGAAGAACCTGGGCCGCTGCCAGTTCCAGGCCAGGATAATTTTAAACACGTCCTCTCCCGGATTAGCATTTGTTAGATTCTTCCCAATACTCCCTCTAGGACATTGGCATGGTAAGGCTTTCCCCCAGCACACAACAGAACAAAAGTGAACAAAGACTGTCCATAAAACAGTCCCGCTAAAGATTACTTTAACAGCAAACTGCAGCTGACAGCAGCCTTCAGTCTTCAAACAAGTATTTCAAGTCCTGCCAAATGTACTCCTCTTGCTAGCAGTGACCACCTTGGAGCCTGAGTCCTGTTTGAAGCACAAGTGTAAGGGCAAGTACAGGAAAATACTCATTTGCTTTAATCATCAAGAACACTTGGATAGACCTATACGGAAACACTGAAGTTGTATGGCGAGATAGCCTTGAGAAGCTGACTTAATAGCAGAATGGGATTCAAAGCAGTAAGAAGCTGTGCAGTGATGCTGGAGTAAGTAGACATACATAAAACAATCGCTGTCAATCAGCTCCAAACCTGCCCATTTTACAGAGGCAAAATATATGAACATGCGTTTAGGGACGAGTCAGCTTTCCCTGCCAAGAAGCATTATTATGTTTTCTTCCTGCAATTAACAGCTGCAGACGTTGCGGACAAGAAAGCATCAGCCCTGCAGTGGATGGAGGCTCTTTAAGTAGATGGAGAGACCTGAAGGGATTAAATACAACATCACGTGTGTAGTTACGCTACCCGCCGCCCCCTCAGCATCCATTGGCCAAATCCAATACAATTGGAGTTGTAAAGAGTTAATCACCATGACAGATACAAATCTGACTGACCCCTGCACTCCCACAAAGCGTTCATGGTCTGTAACAGTGAGAGAATGAAAAAGCTCCCTGCCAGCATTTAGGTAGAAGATGCCTTTGGGATCCAAACCCATGAGCACGTGGAGCCAGGAGAGCACAGCACCCAAGTCTGCTGCTTCCTAGGTAAGGAGCTGGCTCACATGGCCCGAAATGTGCTTGGCATGGGTGCAGCCATCTGAAGGAACGCCCCCCTCCTTGCACCAGCACTAAATCAGAGGGAACTGAGGGTGTTCAGGAAACTCTTCAATCCTACTGGAAATGTTTATCCAGGCGGTCGGTTGTCCGGTGACAGCCAGGACACACAACGCCTTTTCAAAGCTGCCTGCCAGTTCCAGGTTATGGGGAAAGGAATAGCATGCACCAAGGTTGCCTGTCGAAGTTATTGTTCCTCGTACTGAAGATGGATGCAAGTAACAGTAATTTCCATCTGTACTCCAAGGCAGCCCAGGATGCTGGAGCGTTTTCCCAGTAAACTGGGCTGTGCGGTATTGTATAGCCTTTCCAAACTTCCCCAGTCGGCACGACGGCGTGTGCAGTTCATCGAGCCCCCAAAGCAGACCACATTCAGCAATGAAGGAAGTACCAGGGAAGTTTTTAAGCAGAAACATGATAAAAGCCTCAATCATCGTGCGCTTCAGAGTCCAAAAAAAACCAAAAACCTCAGGCAGGTTTCACTGACACAGCAACAATGGCCAGAAAACAGCATGCAATCAATGCCACCAGACCATCCTACCATAACAGAGCAGGTTGGACAGGCTCGGAGTGCAAAAAGTAGTGAAACAAGCACTCAGATTGAATCCCATAGGAAAAAAGACCCAAAGGACTTCAGTCCCTAAACCTCCTCCAACGTAGAGGCTTGTTTTCAATTTCAGCTTGGATTAATTAATATTTACATATTTTCTCACTGGAAACAAAAGTCAGTAAATATGGTGCTCCAAGAAATTAAAACAAGTCATTGCTACAGTAAGAAATCCAGGAGGCCAACAACAGCCACTGCCAAATATCCAAGTCAGGCTGCAGAATTAAAATCACCACTTGATGTGGCATTTCCTCCGGGTGACCAACCCCCTGAGAAGGCCATTACTCACCCCAGCATGGTGTGCTCCACCCCAGAGCAGCAAAAGGGATTGGCAGCAAGCTGTTTGGGGACGTCAACTCCGTTTCGGAGTTAATGTACCATAGAGGCAACTTCCAGCTTTCTTCCTTTTCCTCATCCCAGCGTATCGGCATCGCATCGCCCACTGCAACAGCACCGGGTGAACATCGAGCAGCAACAACACTGGGTGAACACGGATCCCTTTCTTTAGCATATACTGGCATCACCAGTAGTGTCTTCAAATTAGGTCCTCTTAAAACCATTGTTAAGATTAATTAATTATATTTAAAGGGGAGAGAGGAACGGTGCTTTCCTGTTTATTCACATCAGGAGTTGCTTATAAACTCACAAGCTGAATAGCGAGAAGTTTGTTACTCCAGGATATAGTTATTGCCAAGTATAACAATTTGAAGGTACTTCCTATAATGTGGTAATGACCGTATCCTGGGCTGATACACTCAGAATAAATGGTGTGCCTCTAGCATAATTATTATACTGGAAACAGGAAGCAGTTTTACGCTGTAGCGTAAACAGTAATTATATCACATTTTAAATGAAGCTATAGAAAGCTGGGGTAAACTCTTTCTTGCCAGTAGCTTAACAAATGGTACCATAGTTCTGGACCTTCCTGCTCCGTAGCTGCCATCTTCCTCTTCTAAAGCTTCCAAGAGCCCTTCCACAAAATAACAATTATGTTTTTATTTACCTCGTACTTCACGACCAGAGGGGGAAGAGGGGTTTGGACTCGCTCCAGCGCAAAGCTGGATTCTCCACATCAGCCTTGAAAGGTTTCGCAGCAAGGCAGAAATTCCTCCTCATCTGCATTCCAAACTGGTTTAGCTTCCCAGCACAACCAAACGCTAAGGTACCAGTTACACCACATTAATGCCTCCAGGTTAGGGCTGGGCCGTAGGCATTAGATGCTATGTAACCAAAACTGATCCCCGATCCAACAAAATTATAATCCAGCATCCAGCTACAGGAGACTCGGGAGCACAGGAAGGCAGTAAGATGAGGCTCCCCAGTTTCAAGTGCAGTGTTCCCACACCCCCCCACAATTAATTTTTCAACGGGGCAGGGGGGGAACTACTGGAACTGTATCCTAATGGCTTGTTCCCACTATAAAAAGCCTACACAAGTCCTTAAAATCCTGCTAAATGATCAGACTTGCCCTCACCTGTAGCCCTCAATCCTTGGCACCGCCATATAGTGGTTGTCGTTGCAGTGACGACACAAAGGAAAAAAAGCAAAACTTGCTGGTCTGTAATGGGAGAGCAGCATTACCAATAACCAGCTGCAACTCTGCAATCCTGGCATACGCAATAAAACTTCATATTACAGACGTAAAAGAACTGGTGTTTGCAAGAAAAGCAATGAAGCATGTTAAGTTATTGCTTTTTAAACAAGCCTCTTAATATTGTTTGGAAATCCAAAAGGATTCACTTGGCTTGTGTTCAAAAGTCTACATTGGGAGCAATAACTAGCAGAATTTGTTAAGGCCACTGCAACCACGATACAAGTGACCTGAGCAAAGAGTGACATCCCAGGACTTCTGTAGCCTAGCACTGAGAAGAAAACTGTCACATGAAGGGGGCAACGGAGAAAAGCCCTGTTTATTATGCTTTTCCTTCCAACCTGCTCCTATGTGCCTTTAGGATGCAATGCCGGCTGTCAGCACAGACATCAGTCATCTGCCCATTAGATGCAATTTACATCAACTGTAACAAGAAATTTTCACGGACTGAACTCTAGAATGCATAATTTGGCATGAGGAAGGAGTGGCTGGTCCTGGCAAGTTTCATTTGAAAAAAAAAAGAGAAGGTGCAAGATGCAAGAATTACTATTTTCTGTTACTGGTAATGAATAACTCAAAATATTTATACTGAATGCAACCAACTGTTGGAGTTGACATTGTTCCGAGTAATTTGCAAAATACTTTCAGGACAATATCTCTATGTACAGTTAAACATGAAGCAATTTGTGACATTATACACCAAATGAGCACTAGTCTCTCTACTATCGAACATTACTCTCCCTTCAGCAATGTGCTGTTACCTATGTCACCTCTTCCCCTTGCCTTACAAGCCACGATATACAAAGTTGGCTACACACAAGAGCTTCACCATTTGAGACAGAGCTGCAAAATGGAAACTAGGCTTGCAGCGTGCAAGCAGAGTAGTATTTTTATGCCCTCAAATGTCAGCACGTTCAGTACAACATAGGAGAAGGCATTCAAGATGACTGTATTAGAAGTGCTGTACGTTAGCATGCTCCCTGTTCCTGCTCAGAAAAGCTGCGTGTACTAACATTTTCATGCCACCGGGTTGAGCTTGAAGTCCCAAACTCTTCGGCAAGATGTAATTGTCTGTTACGGTGCTGTACTTAACTCTGCAGAGCTGGACTCGGGAACTTCTCCCAAAGCTTGAAGGTCTTCCAACAGCAGAGAGCTGGCAAAGCAGCCTCCATACTCCTCTCTCCAGCCTCCCTGCTGAGGCAGGCATAAGCAGGAGGAAGAAAGGGCCAAGTCCACAGCTTGCTTCATCCCTGCTCATCCACAGCCCTCTCAGCAGGCTCTTGCGGCCACTGGCAGCCAGGACCAGCAGCAGCAGCCAGGCTGCTATAAATTACAGCAGGGGACCAGCCCAGCGACACACTTTATTGCTCAGGATCAGGGAAGCACAGCAACTGCTTCTACCCTCTTCTCTGAGCTGCTCTGCTGGCTGCTGGGCCGTGGGGAAAGATCAGGGCCTCAAGACAGGAGCTAAATGCCAGCAGCACAAGACAACTCATCATTTACCCTGAGTCTCATAAACAGGAGGGGCATTTTTAAAGCCCCAACCTCAGGGGGGCTAGGCAGATAGGAATATTTATGGGCTTTTTAACTGTCATTTTAAGGTCTGGAGAAAGTTAAATAGATAATCTGGTATTATCAGGAATTTTAAAAAGTTCTTTTTTGGCTCTTTTAAGCAGTGTGAAGCAAGGCTTTGAAAGGCAGAAGTGACTGATAGACTGCGGCTTTGCAAACAGAGGGGTGTGTAGACAAAGCCTACTGGAAAGGATTGTCAGCTTCCAACAAGATGAGCTATATGAGTACATCGAGTACTTGTTTTCTCTGTGCGCTACCCTTAACGTCCAGGCAGACCACACTCAGCACAGCGAAGAGACCTCCTGGGAGAGGTAACAGCATCCAGTCTCCTGGCATAGGCAAACAGAAACCCCAGTAAGGCTACATGAGAAATGAATCTCCCATTGTACTTTATTTTAGCTAAAATATAAAACACCTTCCAAAGGAACCACGATGCACTTACTAGGTACAATTCCTCCTGATTTTTTGCCCTTGCAATGCTGCAGAAGTGGACTGCTGCTTTAAGTAGAGGGTTTGGGGGTCCAAGAAGCCATGACTCAGAAATTTGATTCATTTTAGGTTAAGTCGCTATGGCAGCTCAGACAGCGGACGGTTCACCAAAGAAAGCTGCAGGAGATCCGCCTGAAATTCACTGTCATCTTAGTTATCTGAATAGCTCTAGGTGCTGGTAAGATGCTGAGGCAGTAAAGAAAGAGTTGCAGACCTAGGGCTAACTCAGTGCGAGTCTCTGATGTGAAGGGAGACAGCAAGCGGCGCGTCACATCGCTTAGTGCATTCCTGTCGGTCACAGTCACTGTTATCGCAGCGCCTGCAACTTTCCTTTATCTCAGCAAATTATGGCCAGCTTATGTTTTTTGTTTGTGTGCCAACTTAGTCTTCGATGGTTCTGCGCTCTCATTAATTCCTTCTCTTCCCACGTGTTTACAAGCCTAACGATGGTTAAAAGGAGGTGAGGTTCAATGACAGATCCTGTCTGCCTTGGACGTTACCTCCCATCCATCACCATGCCTCCAGCCCAGCATCACTGCTCAGGTAACCTCAACTGCACATTAGTGTGGGGGAAGTTGCTCCAGCTAAAACCAAAACCTTAAAAAAAAAATTTCAGACAGATCAGCTCCTTTGGCCTGATAATAAAAGTGTTACGAACACTAGACCTAGCCCTATCTCCCAATACGGAGACGAGCTAATCATACTAACCGTCACAGCCCCGCTTCTTCCTTCTACAAGAGGCTCTTGCTTCACACATTCACCCCAACGCACATCACCATTGTAATATCAGCTTATGGCAAGGAGGATTTGCCAAGCAGCTAGGCCTTCTGACAAGCTTCAGCCCTTCGGCAGTCAATGCAAGAAAGAAGCTGCGTCTCTAACCTCATACATCGCTTTTTAAAGCTTCCCCTATTCAGTCAGAACTTCAGTTTCTTCTCTTACATCCCCCATAAGGACTCTGCCCAGCAGGCTTTAAAATCAAGTTTTTGTACCATTGAACAGCTACTCAAAATGTACCAGGATTTCTTCCACAAATTCATCTATGCAGCCCTTCCATTTCCTTACCTACTTCCTAAGGACTGCAGTGGGGACAAAGCTCCTTTAAGAGCTGCTGCATGAAAAGCAACACACACAGCAAGCTGTGGAGTCACAAGGTCTGCCTCCTACCCCTGGAGGCCCAGATATTTTTGGGAGGCCCTGCCTTTGTCGTTGGTAACAGAGGAAAATAGTCAAATTATAATATGGTCTTATTTCAATGTTTCATGTCAAATTATTTAACGTGCAAGGAGGTCAGCATGCTTCATGTGGCAATACTAGTGATGCACACCACCACACTGTGATATCTCCTGTGTGCTAAAGCGTGTTCCTAGCATGCTCAGAAATAGGAACCTCCCTGAAACTACCACATGCAGATCACCCCAGTTTGAGTACAAGATGGATCGGGTAGCATAAGAAAGAGGAAAGTCAGTGATTCATGCATCTCCCTGCCTTGATTCTGCATTATGGATAGATGAAAGTTCATTCCAGTAAACACACAATGAACTTGGACCAAGTAAGGCCCCAAAATTTTGATATAGGCCAGCTCAAAAAGGTCTTAATTTCCAAAAGGTAACAAGCACCCATGTTCTGGAGAAGCGGTATGTATATCTATACACACACAAGGTCCAAGGCATCGTCCTGTGCAGCCAAGAGCCATCCATATCTACAAAGCCACGCACAGCTCTTGCTCAGCAATATTCGCAACATGACACAGGAGAAATTCAAGACAACCAGGGTTTG